GTAACGGGAAATGATTGCAGTTCGAGTGGAGAGTGCAGCGAAGTTGAGCGCTGAAAGTTTTTTTCGAGCTCGAGCGATACGAATGATGCGAGATCGCCACAAATTGTTACTTGATTTGATGATGGTTCGTGATGTGTCAGCGACTCGAGCAATAAGAACAAGGCGGGATCCTTAACGGTGCGTCGGGGCGTGAATTTAGCAGCACGCGAAACGCAAAGTGTCCGGATATTACGCGAGGAGGTTCAGGTCGCGTATGGCGCTGCCGAGATATTGGAATTTTAAGGTAAATGCTCCAAGCTTCTGCTGCAGACCGCCATATAGGGCAGTGCATCAATTCACTTTGGTGCAAATGCACTCCGCCGCTCACGGTTATTCGAGTCGCGTTCGCTCCCGGCGCGTCCGTGGCGAGTTAATGCAATCGATATACGTTTCTCCCTGAATGAGGTTTTCCAGTCGTTGGAAAATATTGCATGTCAATGATCAATCAAATATCTTTGAAACCTATTAATTTTTTTTTTTTTTTTTTTTTTTATTTGATTTATATGTATAAACATTTTCCCCTTGCAACATTGCGATGCAGATTAATTCTCTGACATATTGGTGTGAATTTTTATTTTTTGTAGTTTTTAGAATTTGGGTCTAGAAACTTGTGTGTTCCTTTAGTGGCAAATTCTAGCGATTAATTTGATGTCTATCTTGCCTCGGCGAAAGTGTTGAAGCGATAGCTTCTGAGTTATTAGCGAATAGAAAAAGTCTTCTCGCAAGCTTAATTTTTTCCGTTTATTAAAAAAAAATAATCAACGGAGCCAGATAATTTCAGGACAACTTTAACAGAATTTCAATTTAAAGTCTTATTGTAAAGATTTCGCCATAGATTCGAAATTGCGAGCTGGAAGCGAGACAAAAAAAAAGAGGGCTTTTCGCGAATTAAACCTTTTCAATTTATTAAGGTCAGAGAATGTTATTAAAGGGACGTTTGTGGATTTTAGGGGATTCCGTACAATTAAATCAAACGGAAGAACTTTGACATTTCTGCAGCGTCAAATGCGTCTTGCAAACATTTCCTTACAGCGATCGGTTGAAATTAATTGAATAAAAAGATTTCCGCACGCTGCACGCGCGCTGCAGAGACGCGCGTATTTAGCGACACTCGCAGGACACCTTCGAAAACCGAGATTGATTTCAGAAAGGAGGTAATGAAGCGAAATTGATTAAATCACTGATAAACTGATGCCTACGACAAACCGTGCCTCATTTCCGCGTGCACGTCGACATTGAAATGGATCGCCGTTTTGTGCGGCAAACGCCGCGAATGCACCGTGGCTATTTATTGATCCGCAATCCGGACGAACGAAAAGTGTTTCGATATAGCGCTCCCGCATTCCGTTCGACGTTGACCCATTCATAACCATAAATGGGATTTCGTAAATTCTCAACTCCGATACATCTCTCTCTCTCTCTCTCTCTTTCTTGCGTATCGAGTTCGTACGAATTTTCGACTATTTTGCATGACTTTGACCCATAATACGATGAGTTTATGCAATACAATGAGTTTGAAATCAAATTTGCGTTGCACATTTCTCCGCGATAGATCAATATTCCATATTTTATCATATTTTATACACACTCCGTACATGCCTGGCATTTATATTTTGTATTATTCTTACGTTCTCCCCATGTTCTCTCTCTAAATTCTATATTCTTCAGAATCAGTGATAATAATAATATTTAATACTTTTTAAATTCCACTATTGCGTCCGCAATTCTCACCTCATTTTAATGAAGATGTGAGAGAGCAAGACAATTCTTTCGTGATGTAAAATGAAAAGATGAGCGCGTTCGCGCTTCGGTTAGCAAATACGAAGGTCGGAAACGGGGAATCGGTAGAAGCAGTAATTTCTCTTAGAAAAATTACTCGTTAAGCCCGCAGTGTGTAGCCACCCGTTTCCGTTACCGCGTATAATTTCCCGATGAAGGCCGATTTGTCGCAGATATAGTTGACCTCGTTTCTTCTCTTGCTTCGCACGCCGGTCGGAGTGCCGCCTTTTTACCGCGTTTCTATATCCGTGAAATACAATCCCCCCCGCGGTTGTTCAAGCGGCGCATTCGATATGGAAGACGACATCGGAGAAACCGGCTAATTAATTTCGCGGACGCCGCTCTTAATTATTAATTATAAGCTTTTCCCCGGCGTTATCTCGCAATGGTATTCCGGGCGTTGCGAGCGAAAGGCCATAAGTCAAGTCGGTTCAAAATAACATTAACGTAGCGATCTCCTCTCGATCAAACGCGAGCGCACAATTAGCCATTCTGAAACAGAGATATGCACAACTTTGATGTAGATAAATTTGCAGCGTACAGCTGCAATACTTTCAGACTTTGCATGAAACTGACGGAGCGGAAAAGAGTCGGGATAATTATTTCTCGCTGAAAAACAACTAGGAATCTCCTCTTTGAGCTTTCTTTCGTTTCCCTCTTCGGTTTTTGCAATTTCACAATTTGTTAAAGCGACGATCGTAGTTTAGACACAAACAAATTGAAATGACGGCGCGGCCTCGCCGGCGTGTCGGACAATTTTTGAAGTTTCGCGTTAAGAAAGTGAAATGAAATATGTAAAGTACGGCTGCGCGAATTTTACATTACGCGACCTACGAGCTAAGGCAGCCGTGTAGTAAAATAATACGCATTAAACGATTCGAGGCACGCGATTCGCGCGTCGACCGTCTGGAGTTGTCGTAACCCATCGATTTCTCTCGTATCTCTCGCTGGCTCGCTACCCTTGTAAACAGAAAAAAAAAAAAACGCAGAACAACTGAATAATAAAGCGCGGCGTGCGCCTGCATTAAAGGCAGCGTAATTGCCCTCGCCGCTTCACTGCGTGCATCTATATCTAAGAGGAAAATTAGTTCGCAAGAACTATTGGAATGAAAAAGTCGTCCGATTCTCGGTTTTGTCCCTCTTTTTTTAAACTAAAAACTAAAGACGGGAAGGATACAACTTGCGTCACCTTCGTGATTTATGTTATGTAAAAACGTGCCATCAACTAACCCGGTTGTGTGTAATTAATTTAGCTACATATGAAAAGTGTCTTTTCTGATTTATATTCACTCTCGCAATTAGCACGCGGACGTAATTGGATTAACAATCAAGTTAAAACCACGTCCAAGTTGCGAACTTTCGCCGTTAAATCTTTTCGACAAATTTCACGGAGTTTATTACGACAGACGCGAGCATACGTCCTTGTAGCATTATATATTTTATTTAAAAAAGTAATAGTATGACATTGAAGAGGCCTAATGTTGAGCTAATTTCGTCATTTTCGATAATCGATTGTGCAACATCTATCGCAATACATTTCCGCACTCTTGCTTATTTACATGAAAGGATTGATATTATAGATTTAAGTAGGTCGAATTGGATTCAAGTGGGCGACCTCTGAAAATACTCTATTTTGAATGAAAATGTCGCACGCAGTAAATAGGCAGCAACAATGGAGATTAGTATCGTGCGTCTTACGAATGAAATTAATCCATTCACAATCTTATGAATGATTTCAATTTCTTCCTTAAAAAGAATTCGAAACAATTAGTAACGGAAAAATAATATTTACGCTGTCCAACCAAATTCGAAATTTCTGTAATTATAATCGAAATCAAATTCTTCCACTGTAGAAATGAATTCGACAGCTGTAAAACCGCTCTTATTAAACACATGTTCGCGTTTGTCTTTATTTCTGAGTTACGGTCTTTTGAAGCTTCACATATTTCATATTTTTTTAATAAGATCAGAATTTTATGTAGAATTTATATGCTATATACTATTTATGTACTAGAATTTATATGTTTAAAGTAAGTTTGTTGTAAAAAGATGATATTTTTACGAGATATTTCACAATTTATGTCAAAATGTAGCTAAATATAGCCTCTCAAACGAAAAATTGAAAAACGGTAAATCAAAAACAAGATCAAATAGGCCATAGTATTTATATAAATGTTTCGAAATTATTTTTCAGTGTTGAATCAATCTCTGTGTGTGAAATGAAAAAGGAGGGGGGGGGGCGCATCATCAATAACACTCTGTGCATGTATAATGGTCAAATTGCATTCCGAATTTATAAATTCGAAAACGCTGCCGAAGAGCGGTACAATCGCACAGAAGCGGTCAGCGCGATCCTTCGATTTTTCGTTCGGCAAACAAAGGCTCGGCGCTGAGAGAGTCAACAGAAAGAATAGCGCAGTTTATACTATAAATATCGGCAAGTGGAAAAATTCCGTCCGTCATCGGACTCGGACGACGTGGGGGGGCGACGTGGTGCCGGCCGACCCTGCGTGTGCTTGTACCACTGGCGAGCCCTTCACTCTTACTTTTCCTTACGTTTACGTTTATCGCTACGGCCGGGCGCTCGGCGCCGCCGCCGCCGCCGCCGCCGCCGCCGCCGCCGATGCATAAAGCGCGTGTGACCGAGTTTCGGCGGAATATGATCGACCGCGCGAAACTCGGTCAAAGACCACCGACACCTTTCCGCGGCTCCGCGCAGTGTGCATACCGGTACGATTCGCGTGAAATCCCCTGTCGTTGCACGGGGACAAAATCGCGCGCATCCATCTTGCGTCTTCTAAAGACACGTCTTTTTTACGTTCGCACGTTCTCCCGTGACAATTTCCGCCAATCGCAAATATTGTTTTAGCACAGTGAAAATGTTGTTCCTTCTCTCTCTTTCTCTCTATCGAAAGAGTAGAGTTTTCCACCGCAGAGATACGCTTTCGCACGAAAGATTCTTCATCTGTGCGCGAACGCAGAATAAATATCTCGTTACAATGTAAATCTCCGTTAAGCTTCAGCGTCGGATATTTGTGTTGTAAATATTTTGCGCATACAAATCTGTGTGAACTTTGCGACTTGTGCAGAGCTTGGCTTTGTGTATTCAGTTTCGGATACGCAATATTGATTATCGAGGGACAATTCCGCGCACTCATCTAGATTCTCCGTGTTTGTTGCAGATAAAAGAAACGACCGACTCGAAGACCAGACTATGTTATTTCGGATAACGGATTGATCGCACCCGTCGCTTCATTCACACGTGAGTATGCGTTAATCGCCTTCCCACTCCGTGGGCGGCTTCATTTGCAGGAGTAGTTTCGCTCCTTGTTTATTTCGGCGATGTTATCCGGCCTAATGATTTCCACGAACGCGACATTCCGCGAAGTATACTACACGTGTCGTTATAATTAAAAGTTATGTCACGTTCAGATGACCTTAATGCGCTTAAAATCGTTTCTTTCGGTGTCGCTGGTTTCTCGTAATTTACACGAGGCGGAATGTCAACAAACAAAGAGAAAAAATAACCGCAACGTGACGTCATTTCGGAACAATATATTTGATGTTTGCATTCTCTCGTGACACACGGAGATTACGATATCTACGATCTTATCGCAACGCAACACTTGCTCGGCTCCTCTTAGGTCGGACATGAAAAATCTTGGTTCGCGTTGGACGGTCCCCGACATAGCACGCACTGCCGCAGCGCGTTCGTCATTTCTCGTCGCCATTTCGTTGGAACGAGATTCAGGTAGCAGCAGCAGCAGCAGCAGCAGCAGCAGCAAAAGCAGCATCCGCAACCGGAACAAAACTAGAAGTAGCGATAGTAGCAGCAACGGCATCAGCAACAGCCGCAGCCGCAGCAGCAGCAGCAGCAGCAGTAGTATTCGCGTGACGGCGATCGACAAGAAAAGGGAGCGTAAGAGCAGCAGCGGCAGATCGGCAATCGACGTGCTGCACGGAGCGCACTTATCCGTCCGACCGTACGTTACGGCGCCGTGTGACCGCATCGTTGGCACGACGCGCTCCGCTGAATCGCCCAGAAACCGGCCGGAAGCCGGCAAGTCGCGCCGCTCACAGCACCGGACCCGTCGTCCCCGTCAGCCACAGCAGCAGCTCTACTACCCCCCCGCATCGTGGGACACGCGCACACCACACTTCAGGAACTGTTAGCACCGATCAAAAGTGAGTCCGAGTGAATCCATTGAGCGGCCGCGCGATCTTTCGCGCGTAGCGCCCGATTGTTACGGCTTCCCGGAGATCTGATAAAATTACGCTTACTGTTCTGTGCATTTGTAATTTTTTATAGGACATAATAATTTTTTTCGACTTTATCCGCCAACGGTCTGTGAGTGTTTTATTTATTTAATTATTGATAATTTTTTTTATTTGAAAACTAGTTTTATTGACCTTTCATTTTCTCTGAATAAGGGAATTATTTTTACCTGTTTTGCGCATGCAAACAGGATAATTATGATGGTTTTATTATTATTCTCAATTTGTATATTACGCGTGTGTTATATTTTATGGAATATACGTCAAAAAATTAAAAATTCTTTCTCTGGTCATAATTACAATGATTTTAATACTTTTCTGCTGCGTATATAATTTTAGGCGTTAAAAATAACGACATATTTATGAAAAGTCACAACAATATGGACATGTTTGACATTTATTTTCGTACATTAAACATTTATAATTATACATTGGAATAAAAGACAGAAACGTTACAGAACAGCATTTATAGCGATTTTTAGTGAATCTATAGAAAAGTGTGCGCACTCTGCAGAAAATCATTTGAATCTCAATATTCTGTCGCCGTCTAATCTTGCATCTTGTACTGATTACGATTTACACTTGCAGGAAGGTGGCTCAGCTGTGCGCAGCCTAGACAATGTCCGAAGATTCTGACTCTATATCAGAGGAAGAAAGAAGTTTGTTCCGTCCGTTCACGCGGGAGTCCCTGGCAGCGATCGAGTCTCGCATTGCCGAGGAAGAGGCCAGGCAGCGGGAGCTTCAGCAGAGAAGAGCGGAAGGCGAGGTATGAACGCGGCCGTGTGTGCTCGTCGCACGATCGCGTATATATTTCGATCTCTTTATTCGCGCATTGACTTACACCGACGCGTAATTTCTTATACGCGCGTGTTCATCAGATATCTCCTTCGAGTGGCGCCAAATAAATCGCTGTTCCCATATCTCGATCTTTCTCAATTATCCCGTAAAAGATTTGGGAAAAATATTAGAAACTCTTCAAGAGATGTGCCTCTTTCGCGCAAATGTTTATCGCACATGCTTGTCACTCTTCAAAAATATTACGCTACTTCCCGAATTTCTTATTGTAAAATTGTCGAGCTAATGAAATACTGATTTAATGCCAGCGAATATTTATCTGACGCTGCTGATTTTCCTACGCGAAGCTCGTGTGCGATCAATTAACTTTCCTATTATCATTGTCCCTTTTGTACGCGTTCGTGTGAGTGCGAAACGAGTAACACGACAAGAAAAATTTATGAGTCTCAATGAGGAAGAAATAGCATTCGTTTAATCTGAAAATCCTCTTATACAGATCACCTTAGAACTTTAAAAGATACTTTCCTTCAGTCTTCAACCAACAGCCATCGCGCCCACAGGCGTTTGTATAAGATACGCTAAAAGTTTCCCATACTTACTCATACTTAAGATTTTATCAAACGCAATGCTCATCCCTAAAACTTTGACAGTAAACAATACGGGTAGTAAATTTCGCAGCATTGTTCGCAAAGTGATATCAGATATTTTCGTCAGAATTTTTTCTTCCAAAGTATTCCTCGGAGAAATAGCTTTAATTAAAAAGAGTGTGCGCATCGGCCAATAGAAAGATGATAAATACGTGAAATATAAATGCAGTTTCGGAAACGCCAGAAGCAGTAAGGACAAACAATAATAACGCGTCTCTCAAACGCATTTAATGAACAATTTAATTCAATTGAAAAAGTTCACGTTGAAATTCAAGACAAACATCAACACGAGAACAGTGGACTGCAATTTTTTTTCCAACGTTTTCACTCATCAAAAGAATATTTACGCGCGTTGTTTCCAAATATACGCAATGATGCAGCCTTTCGAACGTATCGAAACTGGATCTTAAGTATGAGCCGCCTTATTTTTGATTTTCCGACGCCTTAAAGCTACAGCGCCGTTTGCGAAATCTGTTCTTTCCCATCTTTTTGTCTACACACGCGTCGAACCGCAATGACGACTCACCCGTCTCCCCCTTTCACGCCCCATTCAAACTGTCGCGTTTGACTGTTCGCTTGATCTATCGCTGACGTAGTGAGGATGTAACTCTCTCTATACCGACGACCACTTGAAACCCATCTGTTTACATATATCTGTCGTCGAAGAGTAATGTATTGTGTGTGTTTTTTTTTTTTTTTACGAAAGATATGCCACGTTACGAAGCTCGATGTCTGCAGTGTCACTTATCTGTGCCTGTTTATATATATCATAATATACATATGTACATTATTTATATATATATTCGTGGATACCGCTCGTATGTCGTGGCTCTCTCCGTGCGCTTCTCCTCGCGCGCACTCGCGTTAACGAGTAACGCGCGAGTGCCACGCGACGGAGAGCGATGATTATCTCACGGAGTGAGAGAGAGTAGCGTGTCAATGTGAATCCGACGTACGAATCCCTTACATCCTTATAATTAGCGTTTCCCAATTTGTCCCCGGCTGCGACCGATATAAAAGGAGCGGATTTATTTATTAACCCACTCCTCCTCCTCCTCCACCTGCCGTTCAACATTGATCGCGTTGTTTGAAAATTGCTTTCGCAGGAGGAGCGAATCCTCTCCTTTTATTGCCTCCTTGTATTATACTCCAGCGATGAAAGGTCAAGGAGAGAGAGAGAGAGAGAGAGAGAGGCGAGATCGGGACTGGATTATCATCGATCGTCTGGAAAATGAGTCTTAAAAATCTAAAAATATGATTGGATCGTAACGGTTTTTTTCTGTGTAACGCGAAATTTGGCGAGTGCACGCTGCAATCGAGCGAAGCGCCGCTGAAACACATTAATCGCACGATGTATTGTATAGATTTGAATATTAAATGATTATTAAATGTACTTCGAGCGACATTTAGAAGTCTTTCACAATTGACTTCGCCAGCTGCTCCCGACTTTCTAAAGTCCCTAGTGTCTTAACTATCTAGTGTCTTAAGACAGTTGGCGGCGCGACGCGACATTGCTTGTGTTGTATAAAAATCGTATACATAACTCTCTCTCTTTCTCTCTCTATCTCTGCCACAGAAAGGCGCCGTCCGATTCCCAAATGAATCGCGTTTCTCCGACGGCTAATCCAGCCCCGATCAAGTTTGATGTGCTTGGAAAGCCCCCTTTTTCCGGCTTGCCTGATCCTGTGTACTCCCGCCGTGTGTCTATGTCGTGACGTAACACTGTGTGTTTTCTCTCCCCCTTCCCTTCCCCCTTTCCCTTCGCCTATTCTTTTAATCTCTCTCGCACACTTATTCACTCTCGCTTTTCTGGACCCACCCAGAATCCAGCTTGCATCTCTCCGAAAGCTGCGAATCGATTCGTTCTTACAGCGTCGCGCGCCCATTCCCTCTTTTATACCGTATATTAGCATATAATTTTTCTCAATTCTCACCGATGTATCCCCCCCCCTCCTTGCCCGCCCCCCGTATTCTCTGTATCTCTGTGTGTAACGACTGTTTCTCCATTTCTCCAATTTCAGGGAGGTTTTGGACGGAAGAAAAAGAAAAAAGAAGTAAGACGTTACGTCACGCTAAGTAATACCGCTCTCTATCTCATCCGACTTCTACCTTACTTAACTCACTCACTCACTCTACACACACACACGCGCGCGCGCGCACGCGCAACACACACGTACACGCACACGATCTCACGATTTTTCTTCACTCGGCAGCATTTGGCCAATCGATCGACTAGAGACACGCGTCACTCACTGCCCGACGCCACACGTACGATACAATACTCGCTCACATTTTGCACAGGGATTGAAAACGAGAATAATGAACCTTCCGGTCCTTCGAACGCCTCGATAAATCGATATTTTCAATAACAGTCGCGAGCGTATCTTCGGAGCGTGCCCGGGGCGTGCATTCGCATCGGAATTCTCTGCGAGCGAGAGATTTTATCGGGAAATAGACGGAAATAAATTTATTCCATTTGTTTCTATTATTAATTTTCGAATCGTCTTAACTCCGCCGGTTTTTGTTCGCGACGATACACAAATATTTTGTCGTTCGGCGAAGAATTTGGGACTTTCGAATTTCGGAACGCGTGCGGATATTATTTATTCACGGATTTGCGAACGTCACTTTTGAACTTACAAAGCGCAACGGAGTGTGCGTTGAGCATTTTCGCGCGCGGATTATCTCGATCGTGACAAGCTCGGCGTGACGTTCGATCTCTGCGATATTAAATGCGCGACAGTTGTTTTAGGGAGAATTCCGCGCCGCCCGTCGCTCTCGCGGCCGTAAAGTCGTTTCAATCCCTGGCTATCCGCGTGCCACGGTGTATTATCGATTCCGAACGTCATCATTCGAGCGAATCGATACATCGACCTGATACCGAACATGTGCAAGTTTAATCCTCGAGGCATTGAATTCGAAACGTTTTGATTAATTAATTCGGGGACTATTCTCGGCGGGAAGCGCGAACGCGCGCCCGCGACTCGCCTCCGCGCTATCTCAATGTCGCGGACTCGCAGACGTCAGACGTCGAGTGTTTTCCTTATCGCGCATTGTTTCCTTCTCTCGGATATTACATCGTGGCCGAAAAACATGACGGTGAAGTCTCACGATAGAATTGCACACACACGATACAAGGCAGCGTGCTTTTATATATATATATATATATATTGCCCCTTTATTTGTTTGCAAATTACACAATTACACGTTCCTTGGCAAGTGTCTTGACGTCTTACGATCAAAAGCGAGCTGTGCTTGCGCTTCAATGCGCGGCTTCTCCTCGAAATACATGTCGACTGCAGAATCTCTGTGCAAGCGTTTGAACATAGAGAGAGAGAGAGAGAGAGAGAGAGAGAGAGAGAGAGAGAGGAGAGAAAGAAAGAGCTTGGGATAAATTGTTACAATTGCAACGGTTGCAATATTTGAAACCATCAATTGCTGTATCAAGCAGAGCTGCACCTAGCTAGCATCCATGTTATAGAATTATATATCTTTTTTTCTTATTTTAGAATAAGCTTGTAATATCAAAACTGATCGAAAATTAATGTAGCAGAAAATATTGAATTTAATTACACATGAAATACTAAGTTTATTAATTTTATCGTAGTGTCGTAAAATAATGAAACTCTAGTTATTTTAAATAAACTAACTTTAATTTGTATATTATTGTTTCTTTCTAGATAATGTCTTATTCGCGTAAAAAAAAATTATATTATATGATATATTTATTTTACACATTGTCTGTTCCAAAATTTTGGGAATTTTCTCTGAATCATCTTTATTGTGTTATTTATTTTTCAGTTTTACTACAGTAAAATAATCGATTTTTTATTTTTTCATTTTTTTTGCTCTTTCTAAAACGACGATATTATTTTGGCACGCGGACATTCAATCATCTAAACGCACTTGTGTAACGTCAAGTATTATACGTCTGGAATTGTTCGCGAATCCAGAATTCTGATTTGTTTCCGATAAGCGCGGCCCGACACACATTCGTGGAAACTGTTACAATTAATCCCAGACTCGACTGCGCAGTAATTCAGGTTAGAGGTGCATAAAACCTGATATGACCTGATTTCGAAAGCCACTTCTCTCGCGCGCACGATCTCTCTATGCATTCGCATTGTAATGATGAACGCGAATTAAAATATCGTAAATTTGAATAAGGAAATGCGAACAGAGCCGTCTGCGACGCGGCGATGCGCAGTGACATAAATCACGACATAAATATTTCGAGCGGAAGTCGCGCGATCGCCTGGTAACGCTTACATAAATTGTATATATATATATGCCATACGTGTAACGCTTTGCGCTGATTTTCCTTTGTTTTTGGACGTATCGGCGCGCATCGTTGCAGGCTGCTTTCGAGCGAGCAAAGTGCGCGAGTCGCGCACGATCGCTGATAACACGCGGCGGTGTCTTCTCGGAATCGTATTGATTTATAGTCGCTTGCAACATCGGGAAGCTCTGCCTACGACGAGAGAGAGAGAGAGAGAGAGAGAGGAGGGAGACAGTGAGGGAAAGACACTGCTATTTCTGACAGATCGCAGACACTTTGGAGCAACGTTAATCCCGCGGCGCCCGCGGCGCATTCGCGCGAGAACGAGAGCGCGAAGGCTTCCTGCGTCTCTCGCGCACTAACGCTTGTACTCGCTTCCGCTTCCGTAGCCGAGTCCGATTGCATATAGATCAGACGCACTGTGCTGCATCTCTCACGAAATTCGACGACAAGCGAGAAAGAATTCCTTTCCGGCACGGCACGAGCACGCAAGAATTTCGCGCGCAGAAACCATCGGCGGAACCACACTTGGCTTGCGCAATTTTAGACCCAGTAGCCAATCTAGATCGTACACAATTTAGCATAGACACCTTCGCTAGGTGCGCAGGACGTTAAAGCGATCGGACACACTTTTCGCCGCGATCGAAACGGATCTCAATTACGTTTCGCGGTTCTCTTCTTCTTTTTTTTTTTTTTTTTTTCGACGTGACGTTCTCCGACACGCAGATGTCGTTTCAGGACCTCGGGACCCGTCGCGCATAAATTTGCATAAGCGCGCAAATGCGGAGCGTCCCGATCGAACGCCCGGCATAAATTCCGCAAAACAATGGGGGCGAGGCGTGCCGAGCGGATTAATCGGTCGGGACGCTTATTCCCGTGCATACGCTCTTAATATTAAATTTGCGCGCGACGGCACGTAGATGAAGATCGCCGGCCACCGCGACGATGGGTCGGGCTAGAGACTAGAATAGAGCTATTGTGTCTAGTTAGGCGTACTCTAGCATCGAGTCGGCTGATAGAAAAATAAGAGTAGCGTTTTTTAATTGCGACTCGCCGGAGATTCGAGCCAAAGTCCGGATGGCGTGGACCTTCTTCACGACCCGCTTTTAGCACCCACTTTTATTGCATACAGGATGTTTCGTTATTGACGAGACCCTCCCCCTCCCCCCTCGCTTCAGAAGTGGATTCGGCACCTGAAAACGAGAAAATGAATTTATGTAAACAAAAGTCTGATTTTTTTATCTTGTTTTCGAGTTACAGTCCTTCGAAGTTTCATGTGTTTCAACATAAAGAAATATTTCTTCAAGTATTGATTTTACACGTAGAATTGAAAGAACAATCGATTAATTCCTGTTTTTTCAATCCCATTTTATAAAAAAATGAAATCACTAATTAATTCTCGGCTTAATTCTACATGTAAAACTATCAAGATAAGATTGCATGCCAAGATATGTGAAGCTTTAAAAAATCGTAACTCGGAAATAAGACGAAATAGAAGGACGTCAAAGTAGTCAAAACAGTTCGTACACGTTTGTGTGAACTGTTTGGACTACTTATCAGTGCCGAATGCATTTCTCCGAACAGAGTCTCAGCAATAATGAAACAGCCTGCATTGCGAGCACATAAATCTTTTTATATGCGTCGCCACAATTTATTGGCAATGTGTATTAGCTAGAATTTCGCATAACATAATAATAAATTTCCGAGTTTTATCACAGCGATCACGGAATTCAGTAAGTTTGTTTGGAAAATCTCGGCGTTCCCAGAAGTGAGAGGTGCGCTCCGACGACACGTGACAGTCGCACGTAATGTGCTTATCGCACACGTTTTAGCGCTGTACTTCACGATCGAACGCTCGGAGGTTCCGGATTTTGTTTCGCGATGCACAGCCGGTGCGACGGTTGCAGTATATAGCGCATGGGACTCATCTAAAAGCGGGTTATGAATAACTGGTGCACTTAGAAAAGTACGCGGATGAATATTTCCAAAGAAGCGATTCGTTCGAATATTCATGTGACGGCGCTGAATATTTTACGTCCGCGTTCCGCATGCGAGAGAGTCAAATACGTTGCCGTGTGGTTTCCGTTCTTCTGTACGGCCGACTTTATACTCTTCGCTGCGCCAACACGTTCGTATATCCATGGATGTTTGCAAATGTATATTTTGCAGGATATTAAAATATATCAATATGTATTTCGGTGCCATATTTTTCGCCATTCTCGCGTAAAACAACGAAAGAGCATACAAAATATATCGGTTTTATGAAAAATTACGCGACAGAATTAGCAAAACGAAGATAATGCGATTTGTATTTTCTTTTGCTCTTGAATTGTACACGTAATGTGTTTATTTTATGTTTCTGTTGTAACTCCATTACGTGCGGACCTCGTGTGCCGCAAGTAATGGAGAATCGCTGAAACACACGGGAACGAATTCGCGCGTATCCTGTGAAATCGTGCGACACCTTAATGTCGAACGCGGAAACGCATACATCGCCTATTGTTCGCGTAATTTACGTAATATGTTTATTTGTGCTTCTTTGTCGTAACTTTATCGCGGGCCTTTTGTGCTACGAGCGGTGGAGAGTCACTGAAGCACTCGGGAACGAATTTGCGCGTATCTCTTGTATAATCATGCGGCGCGTTAATGTCGAGTGCGGAAATGCATATAACGCCGTGCCTATTGTTCGTTCAATTTACGGCCGCAGTCGACCGAAGGAAACTGATATTTTGGAAATATTTATATCAATCGATCGCTCGATTATTTTTACTTCTCACAGTCGAATATGAAAGGCGATATGTGTGACGGCCCAATTTGATTTTTCACGCAAGACGCGGCCGCAATGCGGCAATAATGGACGCATTAAAAATTATTTTTACAGTACGCCGGCTTCATTTATATCTCCGACATATTCGCTTGGATCAAAGGAATGTTACAATCGCCCGAATAATTCCGCTCTCGAGAGAAATTCAATTCGGAATTCCGTATTTTTGTACTTCAATCGCTCGCAATATAATTTCTCTACAAAAATATACAGCCGGACGCCGTTTTTGCGCGGGCGAAATTCACCGCGACGGCGACACACGTCGGAGTTCGCGTGCCGAGATAATCTTACAAGCATCTCGTTCGCAGGTACGATATGACGACGAGGACGAGGACGAAGGTCCTCAGCCGGATCCGATGTTCGAGCAGGGGGGGCCGCTCCCCGTCCGAATGCACAACGACTTTCCACCCGAGTTGTCCTCCACACCTCTCGAGGATATTGATACCTTCTACCACAATCAAAGGGTATCGATCATTGACGCACTAATTAGTTTAACTCTCTCGGGGAAGCGCTTTTCGCAAAAGCGCACACCGGAGTAGGTTTTAACGAGCGACTGCTCTCCACAGCCGCACCTGGTGCAGCTATTTTCAAACTTTGACTCGTAATTACTTTGTGGAATTTTTTCACGGCTGTAATGGAGAGAGCAGTATACCTATAGATACATTTATTTGCAACTTAAGCTCAAGGACGTAGAATTTAGAAATGGTGGAATTGAAAAAATCTACTCTCTACGTAACTCGTCGAGACATTTTTTTATAAATTTTACATTATGTTTAGAATATCCTTGTCAATTCTAAAATTATATTAATACGAGCCATCGTTAGAAATGACATTTACTATTTTAGTAATGTTGTAATATATAAATTTGTGTGTTTAAAAATTCAAAAATTTATTCTAATGTAAAAGTGTATTGTAGGGAATTTTATTTGAAGGTGAAAGTTTATTGTAACGATCGATACGATTTTTCCTTAATTATTTTACTAAATAACTTTGATAGAATAATTTTCGTCGCAAAATTATGATAAATTTAACTGAAATATTTAAATATAGACTCGTCATTCTTCATGATGTTAAAACAAAAATTAACACGAATGATTAAATTATCAAACGTTTAATAAAGCTTTTCATTGCACTGCAAGTGTTTTTGCGAAAAGTGAATCTGACAAAATTGAAGTATCGTGAACGCATGCTGCGTAAAATATAACTTGAGGTGAATCTAATTACAAGGCGATATGTGTTGCACCTAATTCTTGAAATACGCCTTTGTTCGCAGACCTTCGTCGTCATTAGCAAGGGGAAGGACATATTCAGGTTTTCGGCGACGGATGCGATGTGGTTGCTCGACCCGTTCAACCCTATACGTCGCGTCGCCATTTACATACTGGTTCATCCGATCTTTTCCCTCTTCATCATCACCACGATATTGGTTAACTGTATACTCATGATCATGCCCACCTCGCCCACCATCGAGTCCACCGAGTGAGTACCTTTCAACGTCCTGCGATCCGTGACTTTGCCGAAAAAATTTATGAATAGAGAATTTACCGAACTACTTGTAGAAAGCGTGAGTCGAGGGTTTTTCTTTGCTCTTGTTAAAGTCGCGACTGTGGAAGAAAAACTTGAATAAATAAGACACTTGAATGAATCTGGAAAACGCATCGATCCATATTCGCGGCGCTACTAACATCATTAATCACTCGGAGCAACGGCATCCTCTAGAGATCGTTACGAGATCGTTATTTAATATTATTTATTTGAATAATTATATGCCTAAATTTCCGGTTATCTGTTCTACAATTATTTTCCGATTATTTAGTAGTTCGAAGCACTTGATATACTTTATACAGTCCAGTGAATCAATTTTATCGTTGCATTTCGCGCGTCACCGCGATCGATGCGGAAGAGAAACGAACAGACAGGAAAGTCTTTGTTTTTTTTTTAGTTAGATATATATAAGAATCTTGCTGTGATTGAGACGATACACACTTAAGCTTGCTCTTAAGTGACTGTGAATCTACAGTGTAGTTTAGCGTGCCGACAAGTGCCTAAGCTGGAGATGCGTTTATCGTCGTTAATTACTTTTACTTTGGGTTTCAAGATCTAGTTCGTTCTTCTCGTCAATGTTTAGCTGTTTCGGTTTTAGCCGAGAAGAATCTCATCGAAGGCTTACGGCGATTATACATATTGTTGTAAAGAATAGATATTTTAAGTAATGTTCTATACGTGTTATAGCTCTAATATATGAGTAGAGACTGTGATAAATTGTATTCCGTTGGTAAGTTTTGTATTAGTCTCTCTAGAGGTAGCACTAGGCGACGGGCAAATCGCGCGAACGATTTCAGCATGTAATCTGCAAATTCGCGGAACATAATTTTGCAAAATTTCTCAGAACAGAAATGAAAAGCTTGAAATACGCACTATTACAATTTGCAAATATTAATATCACGCGTATTAATGCTAAATGAAATAATTAAAATGAAAACTTGATTTTTATCATTTCGCACTTCACTGTGTTTTTTTTGTGTCGATTTGAAAAATGTGATAAAATATTTTTGATAATTTGTTATTAATATTTCGTTCGCGTGCGCCGTGCCTTGTGCGAACATATTGGTAGTTAATATGTATTACATCAATATATATTCAATAAAATAGATGCCAATAGTTGTCGGGAAAAATGAATCATTAAGTTTAGACGCGACTGGTCTCGCCGGCAAAAGTGATTATGCTGTTTAATTAAAAACTTTGTCACTCGCATGTTTCGAAATTTATCAATAAATTAGTTTTATATTGTCGCTGTTTATAGATTATAGATGTGTAATAGCAAATATATTTCTATTATGATATAATGTTTTTAATATTACAATTAGATATAAAAAAAGTAGTTACAATGTGATAGAAATGTTGTTATAATCACATTTTGACGCGAGGACACGTTGTTCGCGTACTCTTTCATTGTCAGCCGCGATTCTAAGCGCGCTAGAGAGAGAGAGAGTGAGAGAGAGAGAGAGAGTAGAGAATCACGACTCGCGAGACGCATTTAAAAAAGCTGAGCGGTGTGTTTGTTGTTTTCAGAGTGATATTTACGGGCATCTACACATTTGAGTCCGCCGTTAAGGTGATGGCGAGGGGTTTCATTCTGCAGCCTTTTACCTATCTTAGAGATGCATGGAATTGGCTCGACTTCGTAGTTATAGCTTTAGCGTGAGTAGTTAAAATTTATTCTTCTTAAAAAGCGAAAGGATGGAAGAAAGGGAGAAAAAGAAACGAAAGCGAAGCGCACGTAAAAAGAAAGACGGACGCGAGTACACGGTAGAGTATGGCAAAAGGGGATGAAAAGATCGTCGCCATCTTGTCGAGAAAGAGTCATCGTGACGTCATCGTGAGAATATTAAGTGCTCGATATCGTTCTTATGTTTTCTATAAATTTGAGCAATTCTATTTTAAAGTTGTGCATATAGGCGAATTGTTTTGACGTCGGAAAACGTTATATAATTATCGTCGAAGAGACTGCAATTTGTTGTTCCTTTTCGTTCCTCTCGATTTCTTGAAATAATTTCCGAAAATCACTTTTACGAGCGTTATTTTAATAGCGAGACGGAGAGATGAAATAAACTTACTGCCTATTAATTATAGTTGAAAAAAGAAATAGATTGCGTTGCGAGACGACGAAATCGTCCGAGTGGCAATCCTCGTGCGACGGTACCGAAGCGGCGAAGCGTTATCCACGCAAACGTTGATTAGCGCCGAGTTAGATCGTTCCAGGTTATGACAAGTAGATCTTCTGCGCTAGATCCGTTGAGTAAACGCTAACGTAAGATTTCCGTAGCGCTATAACGATTATGTACTCGATCTTCGTTTCCATCACCGCCAAACTTCACACGCAGAGACACGTACGCGCATACACGCATACACCCTTGGGGCGTACTCTTGTTCTAGGTACTTAAAAACTAGTTCACCTAGATAGGGATAGCATTACTCTTATCTCTTAGTGATCTTAAACAGAGAGTTCTTTATTGCCATTACGTAATACGTTGATTAGACATTAGTACTTTTACGTCGAGTCGATTAAGTCAGTTGACTAATTGTTGTAGTTTAGTACATTATATATATATATATATATATATACATATACATATATATTCTTATATACTATCAGTAATTGTTCATAGATGATCGATACGTGTGTACTCGATGAACGAGTTACTCGACTGCGCATTGTAGCATCGCCGATCGCGTGCCACGAGAGATTCAACGATCCTCCACGAGTGTTTGAAAATCATTGTTCAATAATAACGTATCTATCTTCTTTTGTTCTCGGAGGTGGACGAAGGTATTAGCGACATTGCAGAGACAATCGCAGATTTCATGTCCTACTTGGAGGGTTAAAACCGCTTGTTAGAACTATAGCTCTTGAAATTATTTATAATGTCGTGCCACTTTCTCCGAAGCGAGAGCGGTAACTGGAACGCAAAAAGCCCTGTCTTTGTCTCCTTTTCCGGAATACATTAATACGGCGAAAACTGCAATTTGGAAACTTGATTTGATTTTTATTTGGTTAAAAAAAAAAAAATATAATAGTAATGTAATTGCTTTCACCTCATGAATTTATTCGAATCGTGACTTTTGAAAGAGCGAACTTGATTAATGGAAATATAATGCGAGCTCTTGTGTATGCGGGAGGGGGGGGGGAATATTTCGAAAACAATTACCCGTGGCAAGCGGTGCGCGGCGTGTTACACTGAATCGTGCATGCAGTAATAGCTACCTTACGATTACACATTGCAATTTCGTGCAGACTCTTTTCGTAGGCCATAGCGAAAAGTAGCGAGTTCAAATCGTATGCGTATACTTTTTAACCACCTCCCCTTCGCCCCCGATCTTCTCTAATCTTGTTTTGCCTTTTTGTTTGTATCACTGTAATGTGTGTGATGTTCGGGTGTATTGCAGTTATGTGACGATGGGCATAGATCTAGGCAACCTTGCCGCTCTCAGGACATTTCGAGTCCTCCGAGCCTTGAAGACTGTCGCTATTGTACCAGGTATGCTTAGAGAATAGAAGTGGTTCGTAGACGCAGTATATAGTGGTTTCTAGGCGAATATATACTTGCCCGCGGTCGCTGTACACGTTGTCCCCCGCATCGTCATCACACGTTTTGTCCACAACGAATTACGTCCCACTGCAGTTTCCCACCCGCCCTTCGCCTCATACGTCCCGTTCGCCCGATGCTTTTCCACTTTACGCCGATATTTACGGCGCGTAAATCAGATTTTACAATCAATTTCTTTCTCCTTCGTTTTTTCTTTCTTTCTTATTATTTCTCATTGTGCGAAACGAACTGTCGAACGCGATGCGCGAAACTTTTATGGACGGAGATGGAGGAAGCTTGATCGCACATTATCAAACGATGTCGCGAGAAAAATGTTTCTGCAATTTTTTTCCTACAATCATTATCAGTAGTAATTTTGCAAAATTATCGTCATGTCATATTTGCGCTAAACCCCCTTTTCTGTTTGTATGTAGATTAACAGACATAGCTATAATTCTGTACTATAAAATTATAATTATCCATTATTGTTGAAATGTAGGACATACACGTAGATTGAATCATACGTGCATTTAGTAATGCAAAATAATAAAAAAGGGAGTTTTCAGATGCGACTGTGAATAGTAACATAAAAAATTAATTTATTTTCTTGTATACCGCAAAAAGTTGACACGATTCCTCGTTTCTGACATTATAATTTAATGTGACGACTGGAAAAAAAACGAAAGCCTTAAACAAACTTTCATGTCACCGTCCATAAGATCGCGTGCATCGTGCGACTTGTCCTTTCGAAAAATATCCATTTCATCCTCCATTCGTATTGCCTGCCTCGGTTGAACCGCCATTTCTCTCACACGACAAGCCGATCGGTACTCCTTGAAGTTGCCGTCGACGAGGTTTTTGCGAGGCCTCGCACTGAATCCACCTCGTTCTCTATTCGTCTAGGTCTGAAAACCATTGTCGGCGCTGTGATAGAATCCGTGAAGAACCTGCGCGATGTGATAATCCTGACGATGTTCTCCCTCTCCGTCTTTGCGCTGATGGGCCTTCAGATTTACATGGGGGTCCTCACGCAAAAGTGTATAAAGAACTTTCCTGAGGACGGCTCCTGGGGCAACCTGACCAACGATAATTGGGTGAAATTCGTTAGTAACGAATGTAAGTAACAAGTGAAATTCATCCCAGAGCACGAAAATTCGGAAAAAAAAAAAATAATGGATTCGAAAGTTGTCTGAGAAATCGGAACTTTAGCTTCTGCGACGTTCAAGTCGCTTGAAAAATATGACTGGCAGCGTAAGCGCCGGTCTGATATTTCAGTAGTACACCTTTAAACATAAACTTCACTACTAACGAAGGGGGTTTGCGCGAGCTCGTAATTTTCGAGGCGCAACTATCGCACTAATTGGTAGTTTTACGGAAATAATGAAGTCTTTTTTTCGAAATTAATTCCCAGCAATCGATGATTAAATTACGCATTGTCGTTATTTCTCTCCATGCAGCTAATTGGTACAGGGACGAGGCTAAAAATATGCCTTTATGTGGAAATTCATCGGGAGCGGGGTAAGTTGATTATTTGTCCTTCATTTGTCGTGTTCTCGCAATGCTGTGAGATCGGCTATTAAGATCCACTTTACGGAGGATATCCACAATTCGCGACGGAGATAGAATTCACTTTATAATTTCATGCGCCGTGTAATACAGAAAAGATTCGAAGAATCATAGTGCACGGCCACAGTGCGTATTCTTCGCATGCTTTCTGTATTACAATGCAACACGCGGCGCATGAAACTCTAAATGGAAGTCTGCCGCAAATTGTGCGATCTAAATAAACGTCGACGAGGGAGTCGTTCAATATACTCGCAACGCCGATGCGCGGTTGACGAAAAGGTGACGTTTCTCGCACACAGGCAATGTCTGCCCGGCTACACGTGTTTACAAGGGTACGGCGGTAATCCGAATTACGGTTACACGAGCTTCGACACCTTCGGCTGGGCATTGCTCTCCGCCTTTCGTCTCATGACTCAGGACTACTGGGAGAATCTCTATCAATTGGTGCTAAGATCAGCCGGGCCGTGGCACATGCTCTTCTTCATCGTCATCATCTTCCTCGGCTCTTTCTATCTCGTGAACTTGATTCTCGCTATCGTCGCGATGTCGTACGACGAGTTGCAGAAGAAGGCCGAGGAGGAGGAGGCTGCCGAAGAGGAAGCTATGAGGGTGAGTGATGAATTACGAGATGTTGAAGTCGGTCCTTCGACGATCGAAGGTCACTTTCGAGGGGTAGAATCGTGATTTTCGCGTGACCTAAGACTAACGAGAACACTGACGCGTCACGATGAAACGTTAACAGGAAGCCGAGGAAGCCGCGCTGGCGAAGGAGAACAAGCTCGCCGCGCAGGCCGCCGCGCGGGAAGCCGCGGCCGTGGCGGCGGCCGCCGCGGCGGCCGCGGATCAGATCGTCAAGTCCCCGTCGAACTTCTCGTGCCAGAGCTGCGAGCTGCAGCTCTACATCCAGGAGAAGGGCAACGACGACAACAACAAGGAGAAGATGAGCATACGCTCGATCGAGTCCGCCGGCGACCAGCGGCACGTCAAGCAGATCAACAACAACCACAACGCTGCCAATAAAGCGCGAAAAGTCAGCGCCGTAAGTATCCGGCCACCGGGCGATACCTGTAACGATATCGATCTCCCTGCCGCGTCGTTTGACGTAACGTACCGTGTCTGGCCCCTTGTTATCAAACCTCACGATCCCCCCCCGACCTCGCCCCCTACGAGAGCAAGTTGCGCGAGGCCATTTCGATCCGACTCGACTCGTCGGGTAGTGAAATTGATCGCGAAAATTCCGGAACTCCCGCGGTCGCTTCCAAGTGTCAGCCCGATTTACTCACCGAATATATAGGACTCTTGTGCACGGTGATATATTTATTAGCGCGGCCGCGCTACGGGCTGACGGTGGGAGACTCCTCAGGTCATTAGGGCGCGCAGTGAGTCTCGGCGAATGCAAATCTGGGTGCGATTAGACGAACTTGGTAATAACTTACGTTCCGCCGCTGCGCTGTCGAATGGATAGAAGCTGAATATGTCCAATGGTGTACTCGAGTCGAAATTTTGGCCCCTTCATTCTGCGACAGTAGCGAAATAGGTCTTCGGTCTTCATAGCAGCTGAATTTATAGCGGCTCCTATCTCGACCCTGTCGACAATTTAACTTTTCCCGGCTCCAATGCAGATTTTGTGAAACGACCTGTATTGAAGCTGGGAGCTACATTCTATATAGGCGTCTCGCTCATAAAACTATTATTATAAATATGAGAAAGAGATACATCAAGTCACATTTATGTTTATATTTTGTCATGTTATTTTAATAAGTTTATTAAATTTATTTATATATTTTTTTCATACACATTTTTCATGTTATTATTTTAATGTCTAACGTATCGTTATATGATTTTGAAAATTAAAATATCGAAAACATATATGCAGCTTCAAAATAGCAACATTTTATTAATTTATGAAGCACCTTAGGCGCAAAGAGCATCCTTGAGATCCTTCAGAGCATCAAAGTGAAACCATAATTTCGACTCGGGTATCCTTCCTAATTAATTCGCACTAGGAAAACGCAAATACAGATGCAATTAGATCGAAGTTTCAAAATGCCTAGTAAACGCATACTTTGATACCTTAACCTTAATGTCTCAAGACACAGCGAAAAGAAAAAGAAGTCGCGACGAGTCGAGCCTTCCTGTAATATCCGCCGCTCTGTAGCATGCTTGGCGCATTTAGGATATCCCAAAAAATGTTTATCGCCGTAGCAGGATTGTAAAAATTTTAATAAAAAAAAATCCACGCAATAAATTTTTACAACTCTAATAACTTTAACGACTAAATTTTGACGAAGAAATTGCGAATTCTGAACTTCTTCGAGGACTCTGCTGCTCGCATACACTTTTTTTGGGATTCGCTGCGTTTCTCGACTGCTCGTATTATGCCATGACCCTTTGGTTAGGTGGCTTTACGCATAGAAACCTGTCTTCCTCTCGTTGACATCATTCGCCCGCAGCTGCATCGTACACACATTCTCAAAAGTGTCGAATATTATCGCTTCAATCTCGCGAGTAGCGCGTGGTAGCGCGCGGAACACTGAATTCCGGCCGTATCGACACGGTGCATACTAGACATACATCTCAATCCTGTTTTACAGAGTCCATGCATGCGGAGAAGTATGTGCTGCGATTAGTATCAAGCGGAGATACGAAATGTCGAGTGTCGCTTACACTGCCCGTTACGTGGAAATTTCGATGGACAAAATAATTTTTTTTCCATCTTTTACAAATAATGATAAAAAATATATACACTAGTGAAGTAGCACTTTTGAGTTTATTTAACAAATTATAATCGTGCACAGAGGCGCTAGAATTTTTATAATTTTTTCTAATCATTCAAAATGGTTTAATTATTCGAAAAATAGAGTTTGTTTTAGAATCTCAAATTATTTGTGATTATTAAATTTATTTATCTTAATATGTTTATAGCAAGTCACTTTGAGTGAATGTAATTCTGGTTTGCAACATTTAAAGTTTATAATATAGATGCAGCGCGAAGAAAGATTTATTTTGCCTGGAAAAGGGTAAATTTATGTCACGCGAGCTCTGATGGGTCTGTTTTATTCGACTTGATAAATTGCGGATGTAATCGGCGATTTTCGTGTCTCCAGCTCTACGTTCTCGCTAGTTACGCGACTCCTCATACAACTGCTCTCCCTACGTGTAGCGTAAAGAATATATTCTCTCTTATAATTTCTTTATATTTCGTTTCTTCTCTCTGTCCGCCTCCATCCATCGATTGTGTTATATGTGCTTCTGCAAGTTGTTATGTGATACTCTTAACCCTATTTCGAGTGCCTCGTTGGTGTACACATTAGACCACGTTACGAGCCGTTTGGTAGGAGATATCTTTTCTTGTTTTTTTCTTAAGGTCCCTCGCGCCGCTAATGGCCAGTTTACTTATGCCTACCAGGAAAGCCTGCGGAAGGTACGTGTGTCACGACGTGTGTCTGTCAGCACCGACCGTACGTACACTAAATAGCACCATAGGACCCGATCACGATCTCACAATTGTCATCCTCGAGACGGCGCCATTCATCAAAAAACGATGCTCCGCCGCGTCGCGGCTCGCAGACGGGCGAGTCTCGTGAAATCCGCTCCGCCGGATTTCCGTTCTCCCGACAAGCGCGATGATCAGTCGATTCTCGCCGTCTTTTCGCGACAGTAACGATCGCGTCTAACGATGAGTCTGGTCGAGCGGGCAAATTGTTTTTTTTTTTTTTTCTTCACTCCTAATCAGCTGCATCGAGCAGGATGCGATCGATGCCGCGCGTGTCATTCGGGACAATCAATTACGGTTCACTTGGAAGACGACCAGATGTACGGCTTGCGCCATCGCTCTGTCATCGTGTTTCGCAACTGGATGATCAAAGTAGGGGCGGGATTGACAGACGGTTTCTGGTTCGTTCGAAGAGTCGCCCGCCGTTGCGTTGCGTCTCGAAATCTCGAATACGAATGAATTTTTCAAACAACATTTTCTTACGTATCCATTCTCTCGTATCGTTTGGAAAAATACCGCGGCCTGGAATCCACTTGAAATGACAATCGTCACGCATCGCCGCTCGCGACTCTTCGAACGATCCCGCTTAGGTCGCGGCGATCGATTTCGAGTATACACGCGCGCGAAGAAATGTCACGATCGCCCCCGAGGGAATCGTCGCCGAGACGCCTTTCCAGCCGCGTCCTCGCCTCCCGGGGGGGAGAGAGAGAGAGGAGGAGGGAGAGGAGGAGGGAGAGGAGAGAGAGAGAGAGAGAGAGAAAGGGTCGAGAACGGAGAGAAAGAGAGAGAAAAGCGGTGGTCCGCTTTGTTGTAATTTCAGGCGAGCCTGAGCCTACCCGGCTCACCGTTCAATCTGCGCCGCAGCAGCCGTGGCAGCCACCAGTTCACGATACGCAATGGCCGCGGCCGGTGCTTCGTGCCGCCGGGCGGCGACCGGAAGCCCCTCGTGCTGTCGACGTACCTGGACGCCCAGGAGCACCTGCCGTACGCCGACGATTCGAACGCGGTCACGCCGATGTCCGAGGAGAACGGCGCGATCGTCGTGCCGGTGTACTACGCGAACCTCGGCTCGCGTCACTCGTCCTACACCTCGCACGCCTCGCGGCTCTCCTACACGTCCCACGGCGACCTGGCCTTCCCCGGTATCCGTGGCATCGACAGCATCGGCAAGCAGCTCACCAAGCAGGAGCAGATCCTCAGGAATCGCAACAACAAGCAGACGACGCCCGCGAACGGCCACGTCACGGACACCAATCAAAAATCCTATCACTTCGTAAGTGATTTTCGAAGTGATTTGCGGAAACTCGTGGATTTGCCGATGATAGATAGAGATCGGTAAAGAGTTGAGCGCGCGCGCGCGGAGAAAAGAGGATCAAAGGGGAATAAAGTGGCTTTAACGGAGGTTCAAATACTTTGCATTTTGCTACGGAAACGCAACGCGATATCTTTGCCATAGGAGCTTATTTCTCAGATTCTAAATGCTTCAAAAATGCAAGGATATAAAATGTTACAGAGGCAAGAAATTCTGTCAAAATTTACTTTACACCGGAATAAATTAGTTTTTTTTCTCACACTTTGATAGATTCATAAAATATCGCCGAAGACTCCGAAAAAAAAAAATATCTTTGATCTCTCGATTGTCATGAAATCTATTTTCGCTGGAAATGCCAGGTACATATAATTTGAGTTATACATTCGCTAATGCATAAGAGAAAAGAGAAGTTTCCGGTACGAACGCGAGAAAGTCAACTTATCCCGACTGCGAGAAAAAAATGTACATGTAATTTCTCGTTTCATAATTCAATATGGCGGCGGTGAGAAAACAGGCGCCTTTTGATATTCCGCATCAAGTTCGAACGCGCGAGAGCAAAACGCAGCTATCTTCGCCGATTATGTTTGCAACTGTTCCAAAATTTCTAGGAAACCGATCTGGAGGATCCCATGGGCAAGACCAAGCAACAAGACAATCCGTTCATCGAGCAGTCGCAGCAGCACACCGTCGTCGACATGAAGGGTGAGAGATCGCTTTGTCGCGAAACTAAGTTAACGAGATAGTTTCTCTCTCGGATGATCAAACTTACAAACGGTTCGCTCGTATCTCTTCTTGCGCAGATGTAATGGTGCTGAACGACATCATCGAGCAGGCCGCCGGTCGCCAGAGCCAGACGCCGGAGCAAGGAGGTAATGTCGCGTTCTCATCTCGTATCTCTCTCTCGTCAAGTACATCTCGAGTTTTTTTTTCCCCTCTTTTTTTTCTGTTTCATTTTTCTTTCTGTTCCATCCCTACTGCAAATGTGTATAATCGTGTGATTGCCGAGCATCCTGCCGTTCGATGTACACTATGGTTTAAGGTTATCTTTCGTCGTACTTACGCTCCCTTGCGTTGGTATTACCTTGCTGAAACCATTTTTCTGAGCCGCGCGCCTTCTGTACATAGCAGATCGATCGAGTTTCACTTTCCCTCTTTTTTTTTTGTTTTTGTTTTCTATTTTCAACCCAGCCAACGCAGCGATGTGAGATCACAATTCGTGTGTTACATTTGACTTTACTTTCTTTTTTTTTCTCTCGTTTGTTTACGATTTGAGCATGGTGTGTAAATCGATGCGGTTACGCCACATACACAATGGATCGTTACACACGTCTCGGCGATTGCCAACGAGAATTTGAACGAATACTTCAATGACGATTAATGTAAAAGCAGGAGAGCTTGTCTCTCTGAGCAGCGTGATGCGATGAGAAAGAGTCACGATTGCGGCCCGTGGGACGCCCTTGAGGGCGGTTTGTGAGATTATTTTTTTTGGGGAAACAGAGTTTGTTCGTTTCCTGCGTGACATGACACAGATTACCACCTTCGCCGCAGCTGCACGATCCTGGTCGCTTTGTGCTTCGACATTTTTTTTTAGAGATTATTTTGAATAAATTAACTCTCAATCGTCGATAAGCCGCAAGCAACATTAATAATATATTTTTGAATTTATTATTGCAGTAAAAATTATGTATTGTATATATTCATATCTCTTTCTTTTATTCTAAATATATAATATTTATATTGTACATTGTTAAAGTATACTTATGTTTATAATTATATTTGATAATATTAATTTTATGTTAATTAGTTTACTTTATTAACAAAATTCTTTTAGATAATGTCCTGAATATTACTTTTATTTTCGTCGATGATTGAGAAATCCTTTTATTTATCTTTTATTTTTGATAAAAGAAAAACTGCAGCGATTTTGATTAATCTTTCGATATTTTTGCACCATTGCATCACCGCGTTGAAAGGCACTGTCATATTTGTTTCGGGTGCACAATATATGGCGAGATTAGCATATTAAGAAGAATATAGGAGTGTGTCGTTAATCTTTGTAAAGATATTCGGTAATTTATGATTCGTAGAATTCGAATTTTTGCACGCAAAGCTGAAAATTGCACTCTTGCTGCATCGCGTCTGTGAATCTCGTGGTCGCAGTCGTTCGCACAGACCGAATTCGTCTTTTTCCGAAGACCGCGCGAACATTTGACAAATGTGTATAAGATCGTTGTTAATTGTACTTTACTGTAAATTGAGTTGCAAAAAATCCCATGTGGTTACATTTGCGTTTGATTGTCGTCAATTGTTTATACCGCAACAATGCAACAAAATTTAATCCTTTCGCCGCATTTTTCATCTAATATCGAATCGTAAGAATAATTTTTATTCTCCAAATTTAATGCAACTGTATTTGCATTATTATAATAATTTTTTACTGAAGAAAGAAGTATAAGAGAGAAAACCTTCATGGTTTTTTTAGTGGCGAAAGAATTAAAATAAGACCACCTTATTTGTGTGAAACATAAAGTTGTAGTAATTAATGTTGAGTTCGAAATACTATATGGTGATTATTTATGTCGCATTGCACATCGTTCGCGCCATTAGTGCACGTGTTTGTTTGATTTTTGTCATTCTTTATTTCAAGAAATTAGCGATTTATGTAAACGCTACGTTGTCTATTGTATCAAGCATCATTATATCGTGCATATTAACACATGCATAAAATTTATTTTCAGAAATAGAATATAGAAAATAACGATAGAAAAAAAAAAATACATTGCAAACATCGAATGATATTTTACACGGCGTAGCGTTCGACATGTTTATTGGGATTTACGCGCGACTCATGATGTATGTATGTGCGTGTGCCTCCTTTTATTTTGCCACGCCTTCTGCTTGCCTGCCTGCCTGCCTGCCTGCCTGTAAATATAATCTGTGATCTCGAAGAATGAGCCTGAACCAAGTATAAAAACCTCTTTCCCCAAAAAGAGTGGTGCCAGACAAAGTTACTAACGCGCGTTACAGTTTCGACCTATTACTTTCCGACAGACGACGATGAAGAAGGGCCTACGTTCAAGGACAAGTTATGGGCCGGATTGCTACGTTGTATCGACATCTTTTGCGTCTGGGACTGCTGTTGGCTCTGGCTTGAATTTCAAAAGTACGTGTCCTTGTTGGTGTTTGATCCGTTCGTAGAGCTCTTCATCACACTCTGCATCGTTGTCAACACGCTCTTTATGGCTCTGGATCACCACGACATGGACAAAGATATGGAAAGGGTGCTCAAATCTGGCAATTACGTGAGTATTGCGACGCAAGTGCGAATAAATACATCTGATACTTAAGTTCGGTTTTTCGAATCTAAAAGTTGGCCAAGTTTCATTGATTCTGATTTAAAATATGAAGCGCACAATCTAAGTACTTTTGTATTGCGCGAGTAAACGACTGACGATCCGATTCGAACTCTAGTTCTTCACGGCAACATTCGGCATCGAAGCGGGTCTGAAGCTGATAGCGATGAGCCCGAAATATTATTTTCAAGAGGGCTGGAACATCTTTGATTTCCTCATCGTCGCTCTGTCGCTTCTGGAATTGGGCTTGGAAGGTGTGCAAGGTCTGTCGGTATTGCGATCCTTCAGATTGGTGAGTGCCAATTTCTCTTCACTCTACAATTACGTTACCGATCGAGCGCGATTGTTTTCAACCGTACCGTTCACCTCTTTCAGCTGAGAGTGTTCAAGCTGGCTAAATCATGGCCTACGCTGAATCTGCTGATCTCCATCATGGGCAAGACGGTGGGCGCGCTGGGTAATCTAACGTTCGTACTGTGCATCATCATCTTCATCTTCGCCGTGATGGGCATGCAGCTCTTCGGTAAGAACTACACCGACAACGTCGACCGCTTCCCGGACGGCGACCTGCCCAGATGGAACTTCACCGATTTCATGCACTCCTTTATGATCGTGTTCCGAGTGTTGTGCGGGGAGTGGATCGAGTCTATGTGGGATTGCATGCTCGTCGGCGACGTCTCTTGCATACCGTTCTTCTTGGCCACCGTCGTCATCGGTAACTTGGTTGTAAGTATAAAGGCGATTCGCACATCGTTATATTTATGATTCGGGCGCGATTGCGAAATTGCGCGAATATCGCGCGCATCTCGCCGACGATTAATCACGTTACGTTCTCCGCGAAACAGGTCCTGAATCTCTTCTTAGCTCTGTTGCTCAGCAACTTCGGCTCGTCGAATCTGTCGGCCCCGACTGCGGACAACGACACGAACAAGATCACGGAGGCGATAGATCGAATAGCACGTTTCATTAAATGGATCAAGCGAAATGTTCTTTACATTGCTAAGTTGATGCGAGCCAAATTCACCAACCAGATATCCGATCAGGCGCCAGGTGAGGGACCGTCCAACAGTTGGAAAGAAGGTTTATATCCAATCAGATCGCTTGCTGTGTGCGCTGTGTAGTTCGTGGCACTGTCTTTCAGTTCTCGCTTTACACTTCTTCCACACGTTTTGCCGGTGCCAGTCGGCGATCGACGGCGGGTCCCGCGATACGACGGTTGCGACGATCTAGGAATGACGAGCATAGCAGATCTTTTACCGATCAAATTCCATTTGGAAAATGTTATTTTATATCACTCGCTTTGGATATTTGAAAGGCGTTTTTATTGATTTATCTCTTGCGCTATATACGATATTTGCAGTCAGCCGTAAAGTTCGTAAAGCTAATAAAAACACACGTCGACTGGCACGTTCGATTTATTACGCAAACTCTTTCAATTTTACTTGGTTCGCTATTTCGCTCCGTTAAAATCGCTCGCAATATGTAATCGCATTTATTATTTGATGCGAATAATAAGAAGCTCCAACTTTCTTTAAATTTGAACCCGGGTTCGGGTTTAGCTGTCTTTGATTCAGCAATTTACAAAAACAGAAGAAATGAATAATTCGACATTTTAATGCATCACGGTGGGTTTGATCGCGAATTAAGTTTTGTTTCGCTGATTAGCGCCTGGCAGTTATACGTTGCTATGCATTTTATTTTGGGAACGCATATTTTACACGACGTAACACTTTGACGATCATGAGATTCGTCCAAGTCCAACGAACTTATTATTAAGCAAATTTAGATACGTACATAAGAACTCGCGTGATGCGTGTTACATTTCTTTTTTGCAATAATCCAAAAGTTTCTTGGATTCGAACAAACTTTTTATTTTATTATTATTTATTTTTATTTTCTCGCGCGATTAAAGTCATACGAAAAGAAGTTTCTCGAACAGATTAAATTATGAGAAACTTTTAATGTATCTCGATAATGCACCTTCAACGTGCAGTATTTACGAAAGTGTATCGCTGGAAATTTTTATGCCGATGGCAAACAAGCTAATGTAACAGGCATCACGCATAAAATATCTACGATTGCGGCTGAAAGTCGCTAATGTGTATCATTTTCCGGTTAAACCGGATCATCGCCACCGAGCACAAGTGACACCGTACACGACTGCATGCGAACGATGTGATCATTTTACTAACTAAGCCTAACTCCTTAGTTCCGACGTGTTGGAAATCGCGACGGAAAACAATACACACGCGTGTACGAGAAAGTACATGTATATAGAAAAAGAGAACATTTTTCTGTATCATTTTCGACGCGTTCCGGTTTGTTTTCCGATACGAGTTTCCTTTATAAGGGCGGATTAGAGATTTTGTGTGACTGTGCAGATGGGATTGATCGCGATGGGGACCTAGATCTTGCAGATGGAGAGCTGGACGCGTACAGAGACAAGAAGAGCGCCAAAGAGCTTAATCAACTTGAAGTCGCCATTGGCGACGGGATGGAGTTTACCATTCACGGTAAGCGTATCGGAAACGACAAAAGTACACGCAGCCTTTGTCGTTAATAACAATTCTCTTGTCTTGATTAGCGTTTTTCGTTGACAAAGATATTACGTGACGTAAATGGGAAAATAATCGTATTTCGTAAATATGTTTTCTCCCTTAATCTTTTTCCATTATCAAAGATGTTTATAGAACGATATTTCTCTCATCAAAGATATGTGCAAAAAAGCGTAGTCACGTTATTTGCAAATGTAGGATATTCTAAAACTCAGGATTATGTTTTTTACGACACATGCTGATTAATTTGGAGTTGATTTTTTTAAATAAAAATGTCGAAGATCGTTATTTATCACACCTTCCTTTCAGTATCATTTATCTTTCATAATTTTTTAAGTTTTAAAATTCTATTAAAACGCATTTGAAATTAAAGGGAAAATTTAGATGCGTTTTTATCTTCATCTTTAAACAAACATTCGATATTTTCACTGAGAAAAAATCAATTTCAAGTTGATTAGCAAATATGTAAAAGGAAGTAATGAGTTCCCATGAAGACAATTTTGATATATAAGCCATGATAAAAATTATTTTTTTTAATTAAAATTTTGTCGAGAAATTGCTCTGAAATAAATTCCTAAACTTTTTTCATAATGTAGATATTAAAGGAATGTATTGTGCAAATTTCCTTGTCTTTTTTTTTATTATAAGAATTTTAAAAAAATTTACATCCATGACAGCACGAGGATAAGACTTCGCAAAAATAAAGATGTAGCGTGATTGATATATCGAATCTGATTTCCTTCTTAAAGGAGATTTGAAGAACAAGCTGAAGAGAGGCAAGCTGTGCATGAACAATACGAAGGTTATCGCAAATTCAATAAACCATCACGATTATAGGCTGGACAACGATTACATTAATCAGAACGAAGACGACACTATCAGGTCGGTTCACGATTTTCTCCAATCAATCTCGCGCAGCTCAGACAGCGTTGCTGTTTGGAGTTCGTTTCACTCAAGTGTCTTCTTTTCAACAGTAATAAATCATACGGCAGTCACAAAAATCGCGCGTTCAAGGACGAAAGCCACAAAGGCAGCATGGACTCGCTGAACGGCGAGGAGAAGAAGGATGCGAGCAAGGAAGACTTGGAGCAGGAAGAAGGTTCGCAAGAAGGTCCGACAATTTGTCTCACTTTAGAAAACTTTCATCACCTTCGATTTTCTTTCATTATCAAACTAATAAAACTGTCCGTGTATCCAGATCTCGAAGACGAGTGCGAAGAAGAGGAAGAGGGCGACGTCGTGATCATACACGCGGATGACGATCCTATTCAGCCGAATTATCCCTCCGATTGCTGTCCGGAAAATTGCTACAAAAAGTTTCCATTCCTCGCCGGCGACGACGACGCGCCGTTCTGGCAAGGCTGGGCGAACCTGAGATTGAAAACCTTCCAGCTGATCGAGAACAAGTACTTCGAGACTGCCGTCATCACCATGATTCTTCTGAGCAGTTTGGCCTTGGTGAGCTTATCGATTGCTTTTCATTTCGTCATTCAGGAAAGCATTCGGCAAGCGGCTAATCAAAACGATTTGCAGGCCTTGGAGGACGTTCATCTTCAATCTCGACCTGTTCTGCAGGACATATTGTACTACATGGACCGAATATTCACTGTGATCTTCTTCCTCGAGATGTTGATCAAGTGGCTAGCTCTAGGATTCAGGAAGTATTTCACAAACGCCTGGTGCTGGCTCGACTTCATCATCGTCATGGTAAGTCGCGCGGCTCGTTCTCTCGCGCTCTTTCTCTCTCTCTCTTCTCTCTCTCTCTCTCTCTCTCTCTCTCTCTCTCTCTCTCTCTTTCCAATATTATGGCCCAGTTATTCAAAATGTTTGATTTTGCATCAAGCGTGCAATCGGTGCCACGCTATACATCGTTGAAAAATATTTATTCAAATATTTACATGTTCGAATGAAAATTTAGCACAAAATCTTAGTGAAACAAGAGCTCGATTGCACACTTGACGAATAATTCACGAGAGGATCTTGTCGTTCTCCTCGCGTTGTTTATAAATTTTCACGATTTCGGGAAACTGTAAAATACTGTAAAATATCGCAGATTACTTGCCGATTGCGAGAATAAGTCATTTGCGATACGAAGTCGCAGGAAGCGTGTTCATCCGTGCTTCGGTGAGGAGAGAAAATTTCCATATTCATAAATAGATATGAAATATATTTTATACAAGAAACGATACACATTGTTATACAAGTAAAGTGGCAAAACTGTAGCACGGACGACACTTCCTGTTTGGCATAAAATTTTCACACACGACGAATGTCACGTGTACGGAAGAGATCTCTCTCGTTTCTTTTTTTTTTTTCATTCGATCTCTCCTCCCTTCTTTTTTCTTTCTCCACTTTCGTCCCTTGATCGACTAATGCCGATGTGCGAAGCCGGTGGGAGCCGAGCGTGGGAGCTTCCGGTGGATATCTCTTAATCGATCGCCATTAAGTATTATTGTTAAGAACTGACGCAAATTATGTCCCCCCGTCTGATGAATGTTTGATGAAACTAGCTATCACTGATCAACTTGGGCGCAATCTGGGCCGGCGCAGCCGACATCCCGGCCTTCCGTTCCATGAGAACACTGAGGGCCTTGAGGCCTTTACGGGCAGTCTCACGGTGGGAGGGCATGAGAGTAAGTCATCGGTTGGCGAGGACTTGAGCAAAGAATCAATGAAACCGAGCTGACTCGCGCGGCCTGTTTATCGCGACGACGTTCGATGGATCGTACGGAGCTGACGGATCGATCGATCGGTAGCACGTTCGAACTTGTCCACCGAGCAGACCTCCGATTGACGAGGGACTGCTGGTTTTGCATGGATCCTTCTTCTCTGTCTCTCTTTCTTCCTCTCAAAGTAGCGACAATGATCGTCGGCGAATAGATCGGGAACGAGTCGGGACGAGTCTCGCTCTTCGATCGCCGGTTCAAGCGTTGACCAACCGTCGGCAACATTCACCGAGAAAATTAATTGGCTTTGTCACTGCGAAGAACTTATCATACATCGGTTCAAGTAAATTTATCGATTTTCCACACGTCTTTAAATATAAAATACATTTAGCTTCGCCGCAGTTTTGCCTTCGTTCGCGGAAGAAGAAATAATTTCGCAAATCGACCGCGGTCGGAGCGGGAGCCGCCGATCCTTTAAAATCGAGACTGGACTCGTCTCGACTCAATTCCGATCGACTGTGAGCTTAGCGATTTCCATTAGAATGCGATATCGATCCGTTGGACGCGGTACGAAGCTTCGGCTTTGAAGCATTCGTTGTGACAAATGGGAACGAGGTGAAAAAGAAATGGGGAGTCTTTAAGGGAAGCAATTGGGTGGAACGGCTACGGCGAGTGTACCTTGTTAATCAATGGTGTACTATGGTGTGCTTATACCGATGTGCAGAGATACACAAAATGGCATCTCTACTTGGTGTCTGCACTGATACTGGAGTCATTGTCGTACTAGCTAAAGTCGCCTATGTACGCCTTTTTCTAAGAGTCTCTTGATACCAGTAATCGTTGTGCAAAGTACCATATATCTATATATATATACAATATATATATTATATATACATATATGCTTTCTGTGTAGTGTGTAAAAAACTTCCTCGTGTGTGTGCGTGTGCGCGCGCGCGCGGGTGTGTGAATGTTGTATGCGCCAGCGCGCGATATGTCATGTTTATCGAGATCTCTCTTGGGCCACGAATCGCGACGCACCGTTCGCGGAGATCCTCGAAGGATGCGCGAGTGCCTTTTCTTTTCTTTTTTTGCAACTGAGAGATGCGTCCGTTTTTTAATATCTTGTTCTCCGTTGTTATTCGTCGTTTGTTCGACGACGGAATCGATTCCCGCGCGAGTCCCGCGGTGGTGCGACGCGATTGCAAGTATGACAAACCTTTTCGTCTGTTTCAGGATGCAGCCGATAGTACTTGCTCGTATGACGATAATCCCTACCGAGTTGTTTGACGTTCTATCTATCTCTGTCGTTGATTGTGTGCGTGTGTGTCTATATATAATATAAAAATGCATATGCATATCCTCCTGCATACATGTAATATATACGCACATACACACAGTCATGTATATCTCCCGATTACTGTTAACTATACTGCTGTATGTGCCGTATATCTGGAATCTCTTTACGCCTCTACTTCCCTTTTCTATATACCTGTTGTACCATAACATAGTTCTTGCTCTGTAAGTACCGTCCAGTGTCTCTCTTGAGAAAAAACCAATTGAAAAAACCTTCTCGATTCGCATACGAAACACGCCTTCTCTTCGTTTTTTAGATTTGCACAGTCGATAAATGATCGAAAAGCATGACGTATGTCTCATTGATCTTTACGTTAATTTTGCAGAGCAATCTTATTCAAGATCATTGTTTATAAAAAAAAAAAAAAATAATCATCGGGAAAATGAGAAAGGCCGGCGGTATTTACAGAAGGTTGATATAATAATGTACATATGAGTATATACATTTATCTATAGATATAGAAAAATGTCGGCTCTCTACAGATCGACAGCTCCCCAAAAATTGCGTCTTTGTACAGATGAATCCGAGTGTCTCGATCCGATCGAGGAGTCGAAGGAAACGCAGATGAAACGTCGTCGATCTCGGCGTCGATCTCTCTGTCCCTTTGACTTTCTCCCCATTCCCCCCCCTCTTCCTCGCCCCTCCTCCCGTCGCTTCCGCCTGAAATCCCGCGGTTCTCCCGGTCGGAACTGATCAACGCCTCTCCTCCTCTCGTCACGTCTGTCTACCTCTCGCTGTGATTCGCTCTCGTTTCTCGCTCGCAGGTATCGCTCATTAACTTCGTAGCGTCGCTCTGTGGCGCTGGCGGGATTCAAGCCTTCAAAACAATGCGGACCCTAAGGGCCCTAAGGCCGCTCAGGGCGATGTCTAGAATGCAGGGGATGCGGGTATGTAGCCCACCGTCTCAGCAGACCTTGTCGCGGATGACGGCAGAGTCGATCCTCCACCACCACCCCCCCCCTCCCCCTCGACGACACCCCCCTCGACCGACACGGGCCACCCACCCCCCCCCTTTCTCGCCCCCGGTTCCGTCGCCGTTCGGTTCTCGATGCCGTTTGGAGCAATACTCCCGTATTGCTGCTGTTTTTCATCATATAATTTATATGTCGGGGGAGTGGAACGATATTCGCCGACTTGCGGTGATCTCGGCAAAGAGAATTTTCACATCGAGGGGCATCCGTCGGGAAAAATATATTCTTTGATATGATAAAAGATAAAACAAAGTACGAGTCTTATAGAGAATTGCTAAATGTATATCATAAGGAAGAACATTTTATTTATTTATTTTTTTTTTTTTTAATTATCTGTCGTACAAAAATACATTTCTTTACGGTGTATTGAAAAATGTAGAAAAATGTTTGGCGATCGAAGCGATTTCTGTCTCTTTATGTACCTCATCAAATGTACTATTGCTTAGTCTTTATTTTTATAGCTTTTTTGAAAATTATCATTGAATTATATATTTTCTTTTTTCTAACGCAAGCGTGTACTTTATTTGGTTCTCGCAATTAGAAGCAATAATTTCTCAGATTCTTTTCTACGGATTCTACGAAAAAGTCATTGTTTTCCTTCTCTTCCACGACATTCGACAGACACGGGCCGACTGACCATGTTTATCAAGAGACTACACCGTTGTCAATATTTATTTTAACGTAATCAAAAACCGTATTATATATTTTGATCAAAATACGGATATTATTTGTTTTTGGTTATTATCTTCTATCACGTATTGCTTAATATTTTAACTGATAAAAATATTATATTAAATTCAAATGTCTATTGCTGGATCTAATATTTGATTCTCGAACATATATTTGTATTTTTTCAATGGAACTGATATTTTTCTAAATCAATTCTGTGAAATATGCAATGCAATTATAATATTTATGAAACATCGACATTTGTACGAAAAATAATTTTGTATAAAGCTCATAAAAGTTTAGAAAGTCTGACACTTGGCCACATCGACTCTTGAAAAATTGCAACGTCGTCGGTTCTGTGTATTGAAAACATAATATTACATCTTTTGTTGCACGTGAACATGCTGAAATAGAGGCAGTCGCGAATGCACAGCAGCTTAGAAATGCGAATGCGTGAAGCAACAGCGTGTAGATAATTCGGTTCAACACTTCATGAAAACACGCAACATATATAGAAACACGCACTGAAAATCTCATATACATTGTCATTGATATACGAGTTGTGCCATCTTATCTTCGCGAGGAAAACGCCTAAACGGTCAAATGTTTGCGAAATACGCGTTTAAATACGTGAAGATTGAAATGGAATATCCCGTATATATATATATATATCTGACTTCGCTTCACAAATCCCAGACGATAGCTGCGCGTGTGTGATAGCGTTACACGATTACATTCGAGAAACTTGATATTCATACGAACGCTAAACGCATATAGACTTCTATTCATATCGCATTCGGGATTAAATAAAAATGCTGATCGTTGAAATTTGTTTCTTCACGCCGCACACTTAGAATCGGGCATGCGATTGAACATGCGATATGAATGCTAAAAAAGATATACTTTGTAATTATTTTTTTTTTTTTTATAATTAATTAGGCGACACAGTAGTAGCTCGCGCGACGAACATATCTCTCCTCGCAAATACATCATACATCACGTACTCGCAACACAAGGTCGCTGAGACACTGGGTGTAGTAATTACTCTGTCATGCCCACACCCTGACACTTCTTCTAATTTACAGTAGCTGCAAATCGCTCCTCGGAGCGCTCAACATTTTGTTTCTCGCGTTTTGTTTCTGCACGAGATCACGAAGACAGGAGGATGTAATTATTTCTGAATTTATAAGATTTATATGTTTCCTAGACGCGCCTCCCGATTCGGACTTGAATGCGTGATAAAAAAATTCGATAAGTGATTTTGCGAGAATAATTCTGGGAAACATATTAATCGCACAAATCAAAGATTATCTATAATTCTGAGTTGCTTCCCTTCTTTTTCAAATTTTATATATCGAATATCCTAAGAAGAAAGACGAGCACATTTCTGCAACAAATTTGTGATTAAATTTCTAATCAAAAATATCTTCATGTTTTATTCAACATTTAAGATATTTCTCAGATATAAATCTTTAATCTTTTGATATCAAACATGCTAATTTCATGCGATCTTGAATAAATATCTATAACTATCTCTGAAGCAAAAATTAAGAAAACATTTTTATTTAATACAAAAGAGTGTAATTAGCTTTAATTTTTCAATATTAAAAGCTGAAATGTCGAAAAGCTATTTGTTTAAATATTCATTATAATTTTGGCCAAAGAATACTCGATAAAAGTTACACGCACACTCAAATAAAAACCTGCTATTACATTTTTTTCTACGATATTCTGTATATAAATTACTTTTAGATATACATCTGCAACTTAATAGCCGTGACAGCTGAATGCTTGCTTGCTTGCTTGGTTACTTGCTTGCTTTTGTTAGCTTTTGTTTGTGCTGCAACTTACGCTTGCTTTACATGTTGAATTTTGCTCGTGGCTACTTTGTATAGTACGTATATACCCGTATAAGGGATTAGATATAAATTACACAATACGCGCGCATCATCACTGATCCATTAAAGTCACGATTACATTAATTTAATCAACTACATTATTTAATACTTTGCACATAAATTACATACACTCTAACGAAAAAAAAAATTATTTAGATGGCTAAATCGATATTTGGGTAATATTGATAAAAAAAATTATTTAAAATTGTAAGAATATTATTTAGAATAAAGAAATGAATGACTGATATTTTTTTATTAATAAGAAAAATGAACTTTTTTTTAGTGTGTATGTAATTCGAAAACTGCAAAATATTTCAAACTTTTCTACTCGATTTCTAATTCATTTGGTATCCATCTGCTTATAAGAATTATACGTTATTTTCAATTTGATCAATACGAGTTCTACTTATTCAAAACCGCAAAGTCAAAGTATCATGCACAGTATTAAGCTACTGCACAGAAAAACGCAACAGTCTATAAATACTTGGTCAAATTTTTATCATTATATCATTCAATTTTTTATGTGAAAAAAGTAATTTAATATATTTCTAATAAACAAATTATTTTTCTTAATAAAAAAAGTTACGTTTTTGATTTGTTATTTAGAGGTAAAGCAAATATATACTTTAGTTTTTATCCTATAAATTTTTGTCGTATTTGGTCTTAAGTACAAGCACATAATGCGCATAGCGCGTGGCACAGCCGCATAGTCGAGCATATAAATGCATATCTAGATGCAAAAAGCAGAAAATCTTACAATTAGTCGAGCATATATCATTTTTTGACACGCTCGCGATACCGGCGTTTAATCGAACTTCGTCTCTCATAGGTAGTCGTCAACGCCTTGGTCCAAGCCATTCCATCCATCTTCAACGTGTTGCTGGTATGCCTTATTTTCTGGCTTATATTCGCTATCATGGGGGTGCAACTGTTTGCTGGCAAATATTACAAAGTACGTATATTTATTCATAACGTAAATATAATAATAATATTAGAATAACTCGTGCTATTATCACGCACTCTTGGAAAAGCTTTTTTCTCTTTAAATCGTAAGAAAGATGGAGAACATTGTGCTGTAAGATTTCATTGATAATCACGCAGTGTGTCGACGCGAACAAGACGACACTCAACTTCGAGATAATACCGGATCGCAACGCTTGCGACGCTGAGAATTACACGTGGGAGAATTCGCCGATGAACTTCGATCATGTCGGCAAAGCGTATCTGTGCCTATTTCAAGTGGCGACTTTCAAAGGATGGATCCAAATCATGAATGACGCGATCGATTCGAGGGAGGCGAGTATACAACAGTCGTGCGCTCTCTCTCTTCTCTCCAACTAATCCGCACGTTTTAATGAAACGATTTGATTAATTAACAGGTCGGTAAGCAGCCGATTCGTGAAACGAACATTTACATGTATCTCTACTTCGTGTTTTTCATTATATTTGGATCGTTTTTTACCCTCAACCTATTCATTGGTGTGATCATCGATAACTTTAATGAGCAAAAGAAGAAAGCCGGCGGTTCCCTCGAAATGTTCATGACAGAAGATCAGAAGAAATATTACAATGCCATGAAAAAGATGGGCAACAAGAAGCCTCTGAAGGCGATTCCTCGACCGAGGGTAAGTTACAAAGATAATATGCACGAAATGCATACTTGGAAAATAATATTACGTTAGCAAAAAATTTTTGAAATCTAACCATTTTTTCATATTGAAATCTTGAAAATTGTTAATCCAGTCGGACAATTAAAATTCGAATTTCTTAGTTAAAAACTACGTTTCCGCAGATTCGCATTTGTAGCATTCGAGTACCCATACAGCACACAAAGATTGCATACACATTGCATCAATCTTTCATCGCAATGTTGCAATATTGCAAATTCACTGCAAAATGTGGTTGCATCATTGCTGTGGGATTGCAGCAACGTTAAAATGTCCGCTTTTAGGAAGATTGTAACAAAATATTACAGTAATATTGCAATATAATGAATTTGCAATAATGCATTGTTATTGCAATCTTAGAATAATGTTGCATATATTTTTATTTATTCGGACATTTATCTGTTCGATTTTTGAACAATTAGTTCAATATCTGAATTCCCTGTGTTGAAGTCGTGTCAGAAAAATTAAACTGATAAAAATAATTACTATGTCTTTAATCTTACTAGCCACTCTTTGCAAGTTTCATATAATCATCATGACTAAAACTTAAATACGAGATAGATTTTGCAACGCGCGTCGCATAGCGGTAAACGAACGAACTAGCGATTACCGAATATTGCTATTGCAATGTTGTTGGAATGTTGCTGTCACATTCTCATGAAATATTACAATTACAGGTTGCAATAATGTCTCAACAATATTACATTGCAACTTGCAAGATTGTAACATTGCTGCAATGTAATTGCAATGTTCTGTGCTGTATGGGTAGTGGTCGGATACAAAAGTTCAGTCCAATACTCTTCGTATAAATAGCAAAGAAATAATCTTCACAAAATTGAATTGAGTATCGTCGGAAAATAATTTTAAGGTTTTTTGTTCAATTTTCACTTAGCAAAAGGGAAAAAATTTGATCCAAAGTAGGAATATCGTAAAATGCAGAAGGAATCTCAGAGATCTCTCTTATGTGTGAGCCGACAATGTGCGCTGAATGGGTGTAACATATTTTTTCAACTGTTTGCAGTGGCGGCCGCAGGCGATAGTGTTTGAAATAGTGACGGACAAAAAGTTCGATATGATAATCATGCTGTTCATCGGGCTGAACATGCTCACGATGACATTGGACCATTATCAACAGAGCGAAACGTTCAGCAATGTTCTGGACTATCTCAACATGATATTCATTGTGATATTCACCAGCGAGTGTCTCATGAAGATCTTCGCTCTGCGCTACCACTACTTCAAGGAGCCATGGAACCTCTTTGATTTTGTTGTTGTTATATTGTCAATATTAGGTAATGTAACGTAATGGTTGCTGCAGTCGTATGACCCGAGCGAAACGAAAGCGTATAGTCGAAGCGAAACGGCCTGTTAGCTTCTTTTTCTTCTCGCTACACTCGATCTGCGAGAATGACGTATCTTCTCTCGCCTCTTCAGCAAACTTCTAGAATAGCGTTTCACCTCACGTGCGAGAGAACGGATCGGCATGCTACGCTGTCATGTTTTTCACTACGCTACGTTTTTTTTTTTTTTTTTTTCATGCACGCAGAATCTTTTTTCTCGATCAAAGCGGACAGGCCCAACGTTTCGCTCGTGTCTCAACGACTGGTGGATATCATTACGTTATGTAGCCTTACATTGATGTTGGATTTAACCTGACCTTGCCAACCCTAATCCCACCCTACTGTATCCTGATGTTAATTGTGCCTAGAGTTGAATCGCCGAGCTCTGCGTTACCTCGCGTCGTACTTTAAACAAGTCACAGTAAGAAATAGTACATAGGGTGATTTTTCGAAGTGGATAACGATTGAGTCTGATATTGGAGAATATAAAATTTTATGGAAATTTTGGAGAAAATGATCAATGCCCGGGGATTTGAATTCAGTTCGTCGTGATGTAACGCTCTGCGCGAGCCATTCGACACGTTAATTGATGTTGCAACAATCGTTAATCCAAGTGTCGGTAAGATCGGGTCTGTATAAAATAGGTCTTAGAACTTCATTCTTCGCCTGACTCTTACTTTTCGACTAGTAGATTGATAGCGTCACTCTTTTCGAATGGCAGTAGTCAAAACCTTTCGATACATTCAAAATTATATCCTTCATAAGGCACTGTTTGATGTCAATTAGAAAGTTTCCACGTATTCAATTAATTTCGATACACGCTTCCTATAATTTCTCGTGATACTTTGGGCCGAATTTTCAAAACTCCAGCAATCCTTAAAACACGCATGAACCCTTTTCTTGAACAATTTAACAACAATTTAAATCTTTCGATTCTTTACATTTATAACGTACATATTTTCTCGCAGCGTAAAAAACAAAGTATCAAATGTGAATGTTTCTATTCTCACGGAGATTTTTGTAGGATGATTTTTCATAGGAAGAAAATGATTTCTGTATTATTTTTTTGTGCGCCAGCTTGCAAAAAGGGCGAACGATTTTCATAGAGTACACACAGAAAAATATCATTCTATTGCTAAGAAAAGTAATTACTCGGCTTACTTTTCTTTTTTTTAAGTAACAATTATCTTTAATAAAGAATATTTTCTTGATAATAGTCTTAAAATATACTCATCACAAATTTTTGATAAACTCATTATCATATACTCAAAAGAAGTAATTAGTTTTTGGTGAAGAATATTATAAAATTGTATCAAAGAAAAGTCAGATTTGGTTAATTTAATAAGCAAATAGAATTCTTTTTTTAATTTAATATTCTTGATTGAAGTATTAAACTTACTGGGATCAAAATATATTTTGAATAAATTTGATGCTTATGATAAACTTACGATAGATTTGCGGATATATGAACTTATAAAATACTTAACACAAGTAATATTTACTTAAATACAGTATGTATTTTTCTGTGTGTATATTTGAGATCTCACCTCTTTCTACGTAGCATCTTACTTTTCCTAGCTACATAAAAATTTAGATAACTCTAATTATTATAGACGATCCGAATGCATGATCCCATTAGAACAATGATGCACGAGAATCTCAAGAATTATGAAGGAATGTTTTATCATTTTTGCACCGTGACAATAACATCGCCGCACCCTCACTTAGTCCTAGATGTTAAAACTCGAGCTCGAAAGAATCCCGAATTCGCTGAAATATGAATTTTTCGCCTCGCCAGGTCTGGTGCTCAGCGACATCATCGAGAAATACTTCGTGTCGCCGACTTTGCTTCGTGTGGTGAGGGTGGCGAAGGTCGGCCGTGTACTTCGACTCGTGAAGGGCGCCAAGGGTATCCGAACCCTTCTCTTCGCCCTAGCGATGTCACTACCGGCCCTCTTCAATATTTGCCTATTGCTGTTTCTGGTGATGTTTATCTTCGCGATATTCGGCATGTCCTTCTTCATGCACGTCAAGGACAAGAGCGGACTGGACGACGTGTACAACTTCAAGACGTTTGGACAGTCGATGATACTGCTGTTCCAGGTGACTTGGCCATACATTTATTCGCGTTCTTATAGAAACTTTACATTCACCGTTTGTCGTCATTACACATTTGTCAAATATTTGTAAAATTTCACGATGAAGGAAATGATTCGTCACGATAATACTGATAATGTTGGAATTAAGACAGAAACTACGTATGTATCTTTTGAGATTTGAGCACATACAAGGACTTTGTTCAAGAATTATTTAAGGCTCCCATTTCTGTCGCGGTAGATTATTTTTTTTCGTTTAGGCAAAAATTCTTTTCTCGTATACTATTAATTATACGAAAGAATGAAATTTATTTAGCGCGAGAAAAGATTTGACACGGTTTCTCGCCCCTGACGCGATCGCAGGGAGGAGCCTTAAGTATCACTCGAGAATCGTGAATCCTCAGCTCACACCTGTAATCATGTATCGGCAGATGTCAACGTCGGCAGGCTGGGACAGCGTCCTCGATGGCATAATAAACGAGGAGGATTGCCAGGAGCCGAACAACGAGATCGGTTACCCGGGCAACTGTGGCTCGTCGACGATCGGAATCGCCTACCTGCTCTCGTACCTCGTGATCAGCTTTCTGATCGTCATCAACATGTACATCGCCGTGATCCTCGAGAATTACTCGCAGGCGACCGAGGACGTGCAGGAGGGCCTGACGGACGACGACTACGACATGTACTACGAGATCTGGCAACAATTCGATCCGGATGGCACGCAATATATACGATACGACCAGCTGTCGGAATTCCTCGACGTATTGGAGCCCCCGCTACAAATACACAAGCCGAACAAGTACAAGATTGTGTCGATGGATATCCCCATATGTAAGGGAGACCTTATGTTCTGCGTGGACATCCTCGATGCCCTCACCAAGGACTTTTTCGCGCGGAAGGGCAATCCAATAGAGGAGACGGGCGACCTCGCCGAGGTGCAGGCGCGGCCCGACGAGGTCGGTTACGAGCCGGTCTCGTCCACGCTGTGGCGGCAGCGCGAGGAGTACTGCGCCCGCCTCATACAGAACGCCTGGCGGAAGCACAAGCAGCAGCGCCTCGGCGGGCCGAGCGAGGAGAGCGACGATCCGGACACGGATCTGTGCGTGCGGCAGACCAAGGTGCTGGTTGAGAGCGACGGCTACGTCACGAAGAACGGCCATCGCGTCGTTATACACAGCCGATCGCCGAGCGTCACCTCGAGAACCGCGGACGTCTGATCGCCATCGTCGTCGTCGTCGCCGCCGCCGCAGCAGCAGCAGCCGCAGCCGCAGCCGCAGCTACCGTCGTCGCTATCACAGCCATCGCCGCTATCGCCGCCGCCGCCGCCGTCCGTGCGCCGCAAATCGCTCCATCGCCGCAGCAGCAGCAGTAGCCGCAGCAGCAGCAGCAGCAGCCGCAGCACCACCATCAGCAGCAGCAGCAGCAGCAGCAGCAGCAGCAGTAGTAGCATCGTCGACGACGATGATCGCTCACCGTCAATCGCTCACACTGCTCGCGCGGAGTAGTGGTCGGGCAGGCACCCTCGCGTGCGCTCTCCATCGACAGCCTTATAGTTGTATAAAATAACATTCCTCCAACGAGTTGCCTTTAAATCGACTTTAAATGAGCCACGACCGTTGGGAGAGACGAGAGAAAGAGAGAGAGAGAGAGAGAGAGAGAGAGAGAGAGTGTGTGAGAGAGAGGGAGAGAATGAGAGAGACGTCGAGACGAGCGTCCGTATGAAGAGGAGACTGCGACTGCGTTTTGAGATTTCAAGAGTCGGAAGTGCGCTGCGCCCTCGCCGATCGCCGCGCTAATCTGATGCGCGAAAAAGCAGTTTTTTTTTTTTTCCTTTCGAAGGGTCGGCTTTGCTTTGCGGCGTCCGGATCGAAAGGAGTTCGAAGTGCGAAGGAGGAAGAGGAGAGACCGGGAGACGAGGAGGAATACGAAGGCGGCCGACGCGACATCGCGACGTCCTTACCGAGCCGACTTCCCCACACCGCAACTCGTGCGGGCGACATCGCGACGTCGGGTGGAGGTATTTTGCTTCTGTACCTCGAAGCTTTGCCTCTGTTCCTCATCGTTCGATTTAGAGAGTAAGAGAGAGAGAGAGAGAGAGAGAGAGAGAAGAAAGAAAAGAGAGAGCATCGACGACGATCCGCGCGAACCTGCGTGTTAGCTGCGCGCGTCGAGGCGGCGCGCGAGCGGATCGGTGGAGCGCGCGACCACCATCTCCAAACACCGTCTCGTACACGTTAGCTCAATCTCGCGATTCTCTATATCCGCCATTTGGATTTTTTACACCGTTTTACAGCAGAACTACTCCGCAGCAACTCGCCCCCCTCCGCGCGACGCCGCGATGCCTCGAGCGCCGCCATCGAGAGTCCTCGTCGCGGTGAAACATCCGCTTCAAGGAGAACGATGCACGGCAGGATGCACGATAGCGAGCGTAAGGACGACGACGATGACGATGATGATGATAATGATGATGATGATGATGATGATTGTCGATGATACTTGACGTACGATGATCACTTTTCGACTTTAAAACGAAGGAAGAAGAAGGGAGACGAGCGAAAGGAAGTTCGCGGGCGGAAGGAGAAGGACTCATTTTTCGCGAAGTGAAATGTACGCGTTTAGTAGTAACTACATTCGCTCGGCTTGCATCTCTCGCGGAAAACGGCGAAACGCTTGATCGCGCCCGCTTGGTTTCCAACCCCCTCCCCCGCCCCTTCCGGCCCGTTTCTTTCACGGCCGACACCACTTAAATGTTTGTCCATCGGTCTCGAAGGGGCGCGCGCGCGCGCATGCGCGCGCGCACCGTCGCTCCGTCGCAAATTGATCGACGACGTTTTCTTCACAATGTTCACCGTGGATTGTTGATCGCCAACCCTTCCGCGAAGCGCGAACCGTGTTTAATGTTGATTCACCGCCGTTGAGTCCGCGTTTTCTCTCTTTTTTACAAGCGCGGCGTTTCGCACGGCCGTGCGCAAGACTTTCTCCCTCCTGGAAGAGGGAATCCCCCCCCATTTGTGCCGTCGCTTCTTTTCCTTCTCTCTTCGGATTTTTCTCGCAACTTGTCTACTATATTTGTCGTCTCCGTCTTTGCCGCTCTTTTGCCGCTCTCTTTCCACCACTTCCTTCTCGACGATTCCCCCGCTGCGAGTGAACGATCGCGTCAAAAGCAGGCGCGCATCTTTCAAAGTAAAGGAAACAAAAAAGACGAGGAAAAGAAGAGAGAAAGGCGACGTATTTTTAACGCGTTCGACGAACGGCCGAAGGGGACGGAGAGGGGGGGGCGCGATTCCGCAGTCATCATCAGCTAGATATTTACACATTTGCAAAACTTACACGCAGTCTTACACGACGTAGTAAACGCGCTTCGGAATAAATAAATTAATACATTCTAGTGTATCGTTATTCGAATAATCGCAGAATCGACCGCCGCGGGCGCGCGCGAGTGCGCGCGCCCGCGAGCGTAAACCCGTCTCGCGTCGCACAACTCGCAAAAGCTGAGGATATTTTATAAATAGGGGTTGTTGTGTATAATTATTATTATTGTAATTATTATTGTATCGAGGGTGCACAATATGGAGCGCCGCGCGGAATTCGATCGCCCGATTTCACCGGCGACGAGCTGATTAAAACGAAGAAAATACTCATCGTTATGTAAAATAGTTTGATCGCTCCGAAAATATATATCGCTCTTTTAGTGGCAAAAGCGTTTTCACTCCGAATTCGAAAGTCGCGTGTATCTTCAAAAGTCCGGAGTAATGAAAGAGAAAAAAAAGACTTCCGCATGAAAAAGAAATTTTCTATGTGGAAAAGAATTTGTTTTTTGGATCGTATTCTCGCTAATCGGACGATGAGAACCCTACGTTGTGCCTTTTGAATAACAGCAATCTTAAGCAAGCTAACTTCGGTTTTCTCGATATCGCACCATTAAACGTCCGGCGAGTCCGTCGGATGCCAAAAAGGCGTCGCGCACACCGTCGAAGCTGCTACTTTGTTCTCGTATCACGAAAAGCGAACGTCGTATCCTTCGCTCTGTTTTCTCTCAGCACCGGGATATTTTTAACGGCCGCCGGCCAGCGCCGTTCCGACGGCCCAGCCGTCTCGATAAATGGCAGAATTTAGACGGGTTTACGCACAGACTTCGCGCGGAATCGCGCGCAGATTCACGTCAAACTTTTTATCGTCACGTTTGTCAAAGTTGAGCGTGTCTCGACGATCGCGTCGACTTCGATCGGCGTCGGCGATGTTGGAAGGAATGCAGTTCGCGGAAGATGTGCGCGCAGGTCTGAGAGCAGCGCTCTCGATTCGCCTTCGCAATCCGGAGGCTAATTGGCACGAGACTTTTGTTCCTCTTATCTCAAGCGTATTCTCGATGCGATCGGCATTCTCTTGTATTATCTTGTGTTCTTTCCACCGCGTGTCGACGTTACCGCAGTCGTCGTCGCGATTCCGCCACGAAGCGACTACCAATCATTTCGCCTCCGCGCAACCCACACACAGAGGATCACCAAAGCTAACTGAAGCAAGTGTGTGTTAAATAATTTATACACGGAGTATCAGAGTTTTATTATAACGCGTGATGACGACGATGACGACATTGCTGACTCTGCAACGGCCATGCTCGTAACATACGTTATACATATATACATATATATATATATATATTATATATAGAAAAAGAGAGAGAGAGAGAGAGAGAGGAGGAGAGAGGAGGGAGAGAGAGAGAGATAGAGAGAAAGAGGAAGAGCGAATGCTGTACGTGCAGGATGGGACAAGCGGAGCGCCCGCGTCTTTCTTCCTTTGACATTTTATTAGTCGCTCGAGTAAAACTGCTGCTCCAAAGCATCCCACTTCGAACGCCGCATTTTTCTTCGAACGTTCGGCTAATCCTTTCCCCTGAAATGTCGGTCGGAAGACAGGTCTCGCGAGCGCGCGTCTCGCCTCGCACGCTACGCACACGAGGGGTCGAGCGCACGCAGCCGCTCGTCGAAATTAAAAACGCGAGAAGAAGCGCGTTATCGCAGTCACGCGGCGGCGGCGAGCTTAATAAGTAGGCGGCGCGATACGCGACAAAGAGAGAACGAGAGAAAGAGAGAGAGAAACAAAGAGAACGTGTATGCGTGTGTATGTGTGCGTGTGTGTGTCTCTCAGTGCGGATCGCGCGATCGTTATTTTTCTACGTCTACATCCGTGATCCGCGTGTTAGAGCGCGTCGGTTAGGGCGGAGGGAAAGGGACGCAGACGTCGCAGACGCGGGTCGAGAGGGACAACGACGAGGAGGCGACGAGCGTTGTCGCGACGCTCGGAGAAGCGGTGACGCCACGCCGACAGGAAGTCGATGACGTTGCGGGAGGGTGACGATTGCTGAAATTTGGGAGAGAAAGAAAGAGAGAGAGAGAGAGAGAGAGTGTAAACGGTTTTCTCGCTGGTCGAGAACGCGCGAGCGAGACTTAAGGACGAGAACGACGACGGATCTGATAGCAAGAACAAAGGCCGCGTTCAGCAGATGCCGCAGCGATGACAAACTCTTGCAATTGGACGTGATTAGCGGATTTACGACAGAAATGCACTCGTGCATCTATTAGATGTCGTCATCGTAGATTTATATATCGATGCGTCTAACAATTGAGCGTGGAAAAGTGAATGTAAAAGAGGGAGCCTGTAAAACCCATCCATTTCCGGTTTGTAACACATCAGGTATTTATTTTTACAAATTAATGACGCGCGTAAATATATAGAAATTATACGCGCAAATCGCACATTCGAAATTTCTATCTTTCCGTTTCGTTCTTGAATGCTACTTTTCTCTCTCTCCGACTGTTGCATCTTCTGAACGCAGCCAGTAATAATGACGACGATTCTAATAATTTTCAAAGACAACGATGACGATTAGAATATTGAAGAAAAAAAAAAAATCGTAGGGAAGTCGTTGCAGATAGAGAACGATATAAGATATTTCGTGAATAATGCATAAAAACAAGATGTTTGTGATTTAAGCCACGCTCGAGTTTGCTTTGACGAAGCTTTTAGGAAAGCCAATTCAATATTAATGTGTCCTCGTAACCTTTTCTATGTACTTATTAATTACAATTCACGAATTTCGTCGCGGATTGTTCGATGATTTTACATCGCCGTTTAGAGAGCCTGAAACTCGCTTCAAAGTGTACCCGCTAAACAACAATTAAATAACAATTAAGATCGAATATCAATTATTCCCGGAGAGATCCATATATTTAAAACAAATTTTCTATGGAAGTAAATAATAAATGATTCATTCCGAATCCCAAAAACGCATCATCTCTCGCGCTTGAAAATTGCGCTTCGTCACGTTCAACCGCCGCTTTTTGCCCCGCGTCGCGGACGGGTGTGTGTGAGAAGCAGTATTTTTTTATATCGCACATCCCCGTAAAAATAGCTGTTTGATGGCGGTGCGCATGTGCACGCAGCTGTACAGCCCGGAAACGGTCATCGTTCCTCATTGCGTTTCGTATCCGCCGACCTTCCCCCAATTTCCGAGCGCTCGATCCGCGCGTTTCTTGCATCCATCGGCGTTGTCCCTCGGAAACGCGGCGTCCCGGAAGCGCGACGGACGACGACGACGACGACGACATTGACGATGACGAACCGATCCCGATTAGATAACCGTTGATCGTTTACATACCGATGTAACCCGCGAAATATGTCCGATGGTCCGTCCGGCTCACTGTCCCGTACCTCCGAGACCCCCTCCCCGCCCCCTCTTTGAGTTTTGGCCTCCCCTCCCGTGTCGTAATATAATTGCGCGATAATAATTCGATAATAATCAAATCGCTTGTACTCATAATGATATATATTTTCGATACTACATTCGTGGGCAACAAAACTCTCTGTACATAACCTGTATAAAGACGCGAGGGACGCCGGCCCGTCGCGTGCGAATTTACATCGAGCCGATAAACATTAACTAACGTAGATTGGCGTTTAATTCTCTTCGCAGAGACTTCGGCCGTCTTCTTCCTAGAGGCGGAAATAGAAAGAGAGAGAGAGAGGCGGTTTAAACGTCCGTTTCACTGTACCTAGTGTTTATAGGAAGCGGCCTATGCAAGGGCGTAAAAGCGCGTCCGCTTGATTGAAACGTAATGTTACGTCGAGCGCTTAATTGGCCGAAGCACCTCGTACTTCCGATGTAAATCCGTGCGGGCCGGGCTGCCTTTTGAACGCGACGGACAGCCGAAACAAGTGGGCGCAATCTCCGGAAGTGCCTCCTTGACGATTTGCATCACGAGAGTGCATCGTTCTTCCCCGCGGAGGCGCGGAACGGAGGACGCTGAAAGGCGTCCGAAACTTGCACGGTTGTTCGTTTTTCACGATTATCTCGAATGAGTCATCCGAAACGGCGGAAGAGAGAAGGAGGAAGAAAAAAAGTGAATCACGGGAGCAACAATGAAAGAAATAGAGCGATTCTCTTTGCCCGATCACCCGCGATAGATTCATCGCACGAGCGATGATTCGTCACGAGGAGCTCGTCGGAAGCTCGTTTTGGAAAGTTTTGTTTCGCACGGAACTCAAACTATCGCGGTTTCTGCAATTAGATTGCAATGTCGAATAATGTCATAAATGATTTTAAATGACTTTAAAAAAAAAAAGAAGAACGAATGGGATCGCGTTTGGAGCGTATTGGATAGCTTGTTGTTGACGTTGCGTATCTATTTAAAAAAATCAGTTGCGAAATGCTCGTCGAAAGACTCGTCTGAGATAATCCTGAAGAAAAAAGCGGACCAATGTAAAAATCCGGGTCTCGGCGATGCGTCGATTCGTCAGCGGACAAAATGTCGCGCGCCGCGCGTTTGTTCACGACTTCCCCCCCAATAACTCGATCGCAAGAAGCGCGCCCCTCGGCGTTGATCGACATTTCGTCCGCCGAGCCGAATCGAAGAGGACTGCGAGGGGATCTTACGAGAAAATGTTCGTCGAGGATTGCGTGGAGAAATGCGAGTGCGGTGTCGAAAAGCGTGCATACGTTTCGCAAGGATTTTTCAGGAATGTCCGACGCTTCAATAAATAATTAAATGAAATAATCACACACTCTGTCGTCTATATTATACGCAGTGGCGATTTTATATAGCTTAGACGTTTGCAGCCGTTTCTTTTGCCTTGTCGACATTTTGCCAATCTCTGTTACGTCTTCGATTAGCTCTTTAATTAAAGAGTCAGAGTCCTTTCGCCGTCCTCCCGCATTTCTCGCAATGTACATTACGCGTCTCGTGAACGCGTTGCCTGAGGATCGTTCGGTGACATCGCGGGAGGGAAGTTTTATCACGTGGAATGCTTTCGTTTGATCGATATGTTACGACGACGAAGACAACGACGACAACGACGACGACGACGACGACGACGACGACGACGACGACGACGACGACGACGACGACGACGACGACGACGACGACGGACGACGTCGCGGAAAGGGGGAGTGGGAGAGTGTGCGTGGTGTGCTTCATTGACTTTCGTTAATTTTTTCCAAAGTGTACATTAAAAATACCAGCTTTTTGCGCGACGACGGCTGTAAGATATAACAAAAACGTAAAAAAAATAGGGCTTTCCTTCGTTAAGCGAGGTAAGACGAGGTTTAACGTACTTTCTCCGAGGACGATACTGCCGTTACGCATTGTATAAAAGAAAACTAAGTTAACTAATCGTAAATGCACGAAAATTTTCTTAAACGGATAGCAAACAAAAAAAAAAGGGCTTTGTAGTGTCTCGATACTCTCGAATCATTAATCCTACGTCGTGAGATAATAAATAATGATATTAATGAAATAAAAAAAAATATAAATAAATAATTATGAAACAAAAATCCTAGAGCTGGGCTAAAGCATTGTAAAGTGTCAAGCTGCGGAGCCTGTCGGCCAGTATAAATGAACAAGCAACTGCCATGGGTTATCAAGCTAGGTAGAAACGTGCTAAGAATCCAATTTTAATGAAGCTAGCTGTCGAAACATTAAGAAAAAAAAACTAAAACGCGCGAAGGATCGTCCATTTAAAAAAAAAATCTGCGTACTGTGTGTGTGTGTGGTGCGCGCTCGCGCGTGTCGTGCGGATCGGGTGCTTGCGACGCGTGCGTGCACGCAAGACGAGAGAGACACGCGAGAAAACGAGAACACAGAGAAGCTCCTCCGTTGAGAATACGACATTCACATTACTACTTAACAGAATAAATAAACAAAAGAAAATATTGGTTATTTGCACAATATTATAAATAATTACTATGTTTACTACGATTATTAAACTAAAGAGCAAATAATAAGGGGATAAAAAAACTGTTGTTAAATAATTAATACAAAAGAGAAGGAGGGATGAGCGGGGGGGGGGGATATAATAAAACGATTTAAGCTAATGATCGACACTGGGTCGAAGCGGAAAGCGAGACGAAGACGAGATGAAGTAAAGATACGATGAAGAGGAAGGAGGAAGAAGAGGAGGAAAAAAAAAGGAGGAGGATACGATTCGTTTGTTATCGATTAGTTAACGATCCTTACACATTATATTATTGTAATTATATAAAGTAAACGATTATTATCATAATAGTTACAATTAACAAGTTGTTACCGCTTTGTTATACATAATGTAATTAATAATAAGATTAAAAAGTAAGCGAAAATGCATCGTTGATTCGTCCTTTACTTATGTAGATACTAAAATATCGATCGACTATATTGTTTTCAATGTCTTCACCGTATCTCTTCGTTTGCTACCCGATTTCATTTCGTTGTCGAAGATTCGGTATTGTCGGCTTACCTCGCCCGGCCACAATATACACACGTTTTACAGAGATATTTTCAATAAACGAAAAAGCTTAACACTCACAGAGTTGTTGTACTTGTTCACTTTATCGTCCCTTTCGAGAATCATAATTACCCGATCATTCCAACGGGATGAATATGACAACAATGCGTATATTTGTATTAATTTTCAGCATTTATTATCGCACTGTTAAGAGTTTTGTATGCACATTTAGCTTTTCGACATTTAAGTTTAAATTCACTTTAGAGCTTCAGACGATCTGTAATTCGTGACAGAATTCAAAATATTATTCTATTTATAATTTTGTGTTGAATAATACAGAAAACACACATTGGAAAAATCAAGATCACGTGCACAAAATTTTGTATGCGTATATTCGATTCTTCAAATGTTCTCTATTACATAAAATTAGAAACAGATTTCCATCTGGAATTCTGCCGTAAATTATAGATCGTCTGAAGCGGGTTCAAAAATATTCACAAAGGAAAACAGGACTGGATTAATGAAAATCCCCGTAGACCCTCGTATAAAACAGGGGATACGTTCCGCGTTATATGAATCCGTGAATATATAGCGCCTCGGAATCGTAAATACGAGCCTGTTTTGCCGTGTTATAAAAGCACAATTTTTCTATCGTGTTATACGAATCCGATTACATGGAGGTCCACTTATTTAAATAGAATTTCATAAATCTTGTATTTCTAGCATCAGGCGTCGCGGAAGTATTTTTCATCTGAGGGGGCAAAATTTATAAAGGGGATACATAATACATTCGTAACATGTATATGTATATGTATGTAACTCCATTCAAACACAAAATAATAGGTCACTCAGTGGGTAGTATAAATGTGCGAAAAATATGCACAGATTTTTTGTTCTAATTAATGCGCTTAATTTTCGTTATATAGTGTACTTCAATTGAACGAGTAAATAGTAAAAAAAAAAGAAAAGAAAAGAAAAATAACCCACCTTTGGTGTAAATATTTGATTCTCAATATTTTCGGTCATGAAATACCTGAAGAAAAGAGAAAAATTTCAGAGGCGCTACGCCCCCTCTGAATTATCTCTAGGTAGGCGGTCGCCCCCTTCCCCCCCCCCCCGGTTCTGCGGCGCCTGTCTAGCATTTAGTATCATGACGATAGGAAAGTAAGTTTTTGGACAACATTTACTTTATAAACGTTTTGCAAAAATGTTCAATCACAAGACGGCAATTATAAGCAAAAATCGTTGAACAAAAAAGTAATTATCAAACGATAAAAATATCATAAAAAGATAAATTATATAAATGATTTAATATAACATATAGACAAAGTATACATTTTAACCGCATTTTTTTCGTTCAACTTATCTGAAACTGGTCGATTCCGTAAAATTCTTTAGCTCCAAGACATTTTTACCTGAGTATGGGAGTTTGTTGAATCGAGCTCTCGTGGAGAGGATGCGCGCTAAGAATATCCAAGGCGTTCACTATTAACGCAGTCCGCCGTACAGTCGTGCGCAACGCGCGTTAGCTTGTAGGTGTTTGCCACGAAGAGATCCGCTAAGATCGCGCGCGCAGAGAGTGAGGGAGCGAACGAGCATGGGTGGGGTCCCAAGAACGAATCGCTACCTCGCTTCTCTCCTCGCGTCTCGCAAAGTCTAGTCGAGTAAAATCGTCCAGTGTCGCTGTGCCTTCTACGAACGATCGCGTGTTACGCGCGACGTTCTCCGAGCAATGGCCGTTCCGCAGGCCTTTCGAGTTTCGGACGTGCACCTCCGCGGCGAGTCCACGTAAGGAAGATGGACATTTCGAGGTCACTCCGGGCCTCCTCGCGATCTCTGAGAGAGCCACCGTATCAGTGAAACTAGAGCAGCGAAAGGCGTCGCGCGTAAACGAGTCGTTGCGGTACGCGCGACGATCAAGCTGTCAAGTTCGAACGCGAGAAAGGCGAGGAGGAAAGCGAGGAGAGAAGGCGGCGCGCGATTGCGTCGTTATCGCGATTATCGGAGATCTGGACGACGAGCACCGACCTCGCTTTATTGTGCAGCGTTTCCGAAGCAGCTACGTCGCAAGGCTACTCTCAATGATCGAGAATCTGGCATCCGTGACTCATTCGCGACTTGGCAAGTCCAGGCAGAGGAAGGAGTCGCATCGCGGATTTCGACATCGGAGGTTAGTGCACAGCAAGGTAGTCGCGTATTTATAATCGAGACGGGACGAAGGCGAGTTTTATCGAGAAGTTTCTGACGTCTTCTAAGTATGTCGAGCGAATAATCTGTTAAATATACATATGGCATGATGTGAGTACGAAAGATACGCCCCGGAAAAATACTTGTATTTACAAACAGATTTTTCATTGTCGAATAGTAGAGCAATTATTCAGTGAAACTTGAAGAATTTCGCACGAGAAAGAGTGCGTGATTTAATGAGAGTTTATGAGATCAGAAGAACAATAGTACGTGTAAATGAACGCATGTTCATTAATTTTGCAAATATATTCAGTGAATGTGTTCTCACTGAATACAATAGATATGGAGAACTTAGGAAATTATTTAATAATCTCAGGCTATTATTTCTTATATATTTTTTGTGAATTATTTTGCAGTCTACTTTCTTATGTAATTTTCTTGATCAAATATTATAAATTAACATATGAAGTTAATGTAAAAAAATAATTTTTGAACTTTTAAACAATATCATTAGAATTACTCAAGTCAGCAAGGAAAACCAATAAAGAAAGTTATCATTTCTTATCTTTCTGATATTGAATATCTACCATTATTGCATTTTTACGTCGCAATTTTCATAAATTTAAAATTAAAATTAGTTAAATTAGTTAAGTTAGTTAAATTAAAGTTAGTTAAATTAAAAAATAAAAAGAGACAGTTTTTAAGTCAACTGAAATATTAGTCAATTAAGTATATTATTAGAACTTTTAATTTTCAAGATTATATTTAGCATAAAAATACTAGAAGTTAATAATTTTCCTTGTTTAACAAAAAGTTATCTATTTATAGAACTATTATATTACATTTTTGCATTTACTCTGTACTGTCTTTCTTATATTTTATTATTATAACATTTAAGATGTTATACATTATTTGCAAAAAAATGAGTATAAACAAGTAATTTTGCATATTTTTCCAGATATTTTGATACCAAGAAACATATTTATAATGGAGAAAAAAGGACTGCGCAAGAAGGACATATTAAGAATGGACGGACTCCTGCCTCCAACTCGACGTCTACCAGTTTGTGACGCGGTATCCAGTGCGTCGGACAAAAAAAAGGACAAGAAATGGTCCATAGGTGGAATTTTGCGGCGCATATCTTCGATAAGAGATTACGACAGTTCGTCTAACGACGAGGAGATGGTTTATTGCAATCGAACACCAAGGAAGCTCACCAAATTGAATAGGCAGCGTGATGGTATCGTCCTTCATTCAATAGAAAATAATTCGGAGCACGATAAACGGATAACAGCCGAGAGCAATGCTCGTCACTCGACGGATTCGTTGCACTCGCGTCGAGACTCGCTGCGAGATTCGCGTAGCAGCGACGGGTCGTTGGACGGTTTAGGAAAGAAGACTCGGAGGAACAAGTTGAAAGCACGAGCCGAGGCGAAGAGGGACCATCTGCGCGCCGACAGCAGTTCCGACGAGGATTGCCGGAGATCCAATAGCTCGCTAAACAGATTTCAGGGCGCGGATGGCGCGCAAAATGGCCAGAGGGGCAGCGTGTGCAGCAGGAGATCGCGAGCCGCTCGAACGGAGCGCTACATCAAGCGCTTATCGCGAGACGACGGCAACGGCAGCGGCGACACTTTGAACGACCTACATACCAAAAGATGTTCCTCGGAGTACAGCGAAGATAAGGAGCGCGCTGTTTGCAGCGATGCGAATGGATTGTGTCGGCCGCCCATACATCCGCGCCGACTCGGCGGCGTGTACTCGAACAGTCGTGCGTTTCCGGCTCAGAAGTCTTCCGCGGAGAATCTACGGGAATTTGCGGATTGCACGGGTTTGCCGGAGGTTCTCAATGACTTCAGGAGGTATTCTACCGGACAATACGTCACGGACTTGAATCAGAATAACACTTACGGAAAGCTATCGCGGGATACCAGGAGAGACGTACACGCGGATAGCCATCAAACCGGACATTTTTTTACATATCCCGCGAAGAATGTGTGCCATTACGCGGAACCGTTTGACTTTGCCGCTGATCGCCGATTAATTGATCCGTACAATCGGCCGCCCGAACCACCGCCGAGAGATCCCCGTTATCGCGTATTCAATTACGGTTACGGTTCCTATCCGGCAAACAGGCACCAAAATGTGCCAAACTCCTCGAGACCGGAAAGCAATAAAACTGACGTTACGAACGGAATATCGAGATTCGATTTGAGGAACTTCCGATCGTACGGATCGAACGACGAGATCGCCTGGCGTGACGCGACGGAGCGTGAATTGGAAAACCCGACGTCGAATTCCAGGTTACGTAATTCCTTGGAGCGTACAAATAATAAATATAACTCCAGTCGTCAGTGGGCGAACAAGGCGGCCTGTGAGGAAACCGAAGCGACGAGATGCCGACGCAGAAATACTCGCAACGATGAGCTAAATTCCAACGACGCGGATTACGGCATGTGCAAGGTCAAGAATAAATCAGCGAACATCTGCGAGTCGAATAAACACCGCAAGACGATTTCATCCGCCGCGTCACCCGACTGGTCGTCCAGATCTCGCGAGCAGCGTACTTCGCGTTCCGTCACCCCGTGCGACGTTGACAATCGCAATGATAAAAGCAAGAAGGAAGACAGCAGAAGGACGACACCGACCGAGGAAGCTCTGGAGAGGCGGAGAAGCTCGAAGAATTTGGAGGAAGCTCTTTCCGAGCTTGAAGCGATATACAACAGCCTCCGCCTCGGCGATGAGGACCTGCTGGACCGCGCTGAACGCCGAAGCATGGAGGAATTTAGTCTGAAGCACGGCAAGAGTGAGCTCGACGCGACGACTGTAATTAATCGGGACTCGCCTGACAGGACGAAAGACGATATGGCCTATCGAAGAATGCATCCCAAGGAGAGGCCTACGTCGCTGTCGGATGTCGCTGGCCGGTCGACTCTGTCCAACATCAGTTATCTCATCGCCTCGCCCGTGCTGTCGCGCCGCGACTCGGCGGAGGATCTCGCGCGCTCATCGTCGACTTATCCGTTCGCACGTCGGGACGAACCGGACGTAACGCGCGACGACGTGGTCTTCCGCAGTATAAGCCACGCCAATAACACTCTCCGAGTGATCGAGCCGCAGCCGCCGTTCGGTATTCCGCTCGGGCCGGTCACGACGGCGACCGAGAGCGATTATCTGCACACAACACCGACGAAACCGGAGCAGCCGCGCTCGCTGTATATACCGCAATGCGAGCCTGACGTCGTCACGGATGACTTGGCTTACCGAGCGCTGAGAAAGGACACGGCGCGAAACGTCGGAACGGAGAGCAAGAGCGACGTATCGAAGGAGCAGTCGATAACTTGCGGCGTGAAAAAGAAGCGTGCCATTAGATCGTTGTCGGCGAATCTCTACGGGTTAATCAATCAGGATCGAATTCATCTGCGACGCGAGCCCAGTCTTGACGTCGTCGGCGACGAGATGCAGAACATCGCGGGAAACTTCGCCGCGACGTCCGAGCGACCGGAATATCTTAGACGCGTCGTGAGCGACGGCGAGCTGTCCGATAACGATAGATGGAAGGAACCAAAGGCGATCGATATCAACGGCAATCACCCGGTGGACGCGTGTCGGAAGAAATTACGCGTTTACGTATCGCCGGAAGCGACGATACGGAAAAGTCCGAAGAAGGAGAAGGAATCGAATGTCGCAGAGTTTTCCGATGCCATGCTGTCTTCGAAAGCCGTCTTGGACGACGAGTTTTGGCACGAGTATCTGCGCTCAGATTCCACCGCCTCGGTGACCAACAGCAGTCGTAGCGCGGAAACGGACTTTACCGCGTACAGTCGCCTCTGCCAAGATCTGGTCGATTTAATAAAAAGCAGCGACGATGACAAAACGACGCCGCCGATCGAGGCGAGATCGTCGGGCAATTCCATCGTAGACGCCGTTGAGCCGTCCGATAAATCGGACAGCGTCGGCGTGCAACTCAGGATCGATGAACCGTCAAGTGTTCATGTGCGCTCTCTAGATAGTCGTTACTCGGGATCGCAATGCGAAGAGGAGAACATCGAGAGCGAGAACGCGGAAAGTACGTTCTCGACTACGAATTCCACGGAAACGTCAGAATCGGCGCCAGCACCCGGCAACCTTGATTTCTATCTTCGCGTGGCGGACGAAAATGTCAAGCTGATCGCGGAGGCTTTCGGCAGCGTGGCCGACCGCCTACGCGACAGCCGCCTTTCCGCTCGCAAGAAAAATAATTCTTTGGCATCGCACGGCTCCGAGGCGGAGAATCAAAGCGGCAGCGCGCGCAGCTCCGCTTTGTACAGTCAAGAAGAGCAAACGAGCGATGACCGGCCTGTCGTCGCCCCGAGGCTCGAAGAGTCTCCGCGCCAGATTTCGAAGCACAACTCCTGGACGAGCAACGACGGGGACCAAAGCGGCGCGAGTCGCTTCGATAATATTTCCACTGCCGACGCGGAACTGGATTTGTCCAGAGCCGTGCGCGACCTGCAATTGGCCGCAGCCAGTCTGTGCGAGCACGGACGGGAGATCGAGGAATTGAAGATAAAACGCGGAAGATTGCCGCGCGTCCACAACGTGACGCCGATCACCGCGTCAACCGACACGGACGAGGGCAATCCGGTCTGCAAGATCGGTCTGATCGTCGATACGCAGGAGCAAGAACGCGATCAGGAGGAGACCGTGGTACTGCCTAACGAAAGGATTGAGCCGCGAAGTGACGCGCGAAGCGAGGAGAAGCGTCGCGAAGGTGAGCGCACAGTGTGCGAGCTTGATCGTACAAAATCGTGCTATGCGGAGGCCGCGCGTTTTGTACGCGTCCCCTGTGTCACTAACCTCATAACCGTCATGGTAACGACGTACTCCATGCTCCTGCTCGCTTGTCTCCTTGCATTGCTTTTAGCGATCGTAGTGGCATCGTGACGGACCGGGCTGTTTTTAAGCGCAAATTATATTGTGTGTTTGCGATTATGTAAGAATCGCGGCGGATGCGAGCGCATCGCCGTTTATCGTCATCGATGCCTTTTAATCCTGTGTTTTATCTGCAAATGTTACTAATTTCTCCAGGTTTCCAGGCGCTCGCACGCTCACAATGACGCTCGCATTGAAATACCCGTTTCGTACTGACGGTCGACATGGTAATGCGACACAAGGCGAGGCAGGTTGATTTTTTTGTAATAAGAGAAACTCAAAGAGAAAAGAGCGTTGCAATTTCTGCAGGCTGTTTCAGGCACATCGATTTATTATTGTTGCTCTTGTTGCTGTTGTTGGTTTTAATAAAGTTTAAATGTTAATCTCTTACTGCGCGCAACACGTATACCTCTGCGCTATGATACAATCCATTCCAAAAGCGCTCCAATCCTTTTCGGTCTGTTTTTGTTATTCAATATATTTTCGAGTTTTTTTGGATACAGAAAAATATAGTTGAGAAATTAAAAAGTTACAATATTATTTTTTGATAAATAATTTTGTTAACTTTTAAAAAAATAAGATTTATATTATTTATTTGTATTTGTCATGATTTATATATCTTATCTTTCATTATTTGTCAGAAATTTGTATATTGATCATAATATGCAAAAATTATTAGAGCTAGTAATTCCAACTTCTTGATAAAATTACACCATGGACGTAGGAATATATGGACAGAGCGATAAGTGGTCTTATCGGCGAGGGGGGTAAAGCCTGAGCGGCAGGGGGAAATCATGCAGCGGCATGCTGGTCGGTTAGAAAAATGGCGATGTTATTAATCTAATCTTGGCTTGGCGCTTGCGCAATGAATAATATTCATATGTTATAAATTCCGCGCTCGTTTAGTTACACGGGTTACCCGTAGCCGCCATCTTGGTCGGCTAGTTTTCCCCTCGTCTTTCTGGCTTCAACCCCGCTGGCTAAAGCTCTGTCCATATATTTTTACGTCCATGAATTACACTGACTGACTATCTTACAGATAAAATATTTCGTGATATCAGTTTATCGACAGGTTTGATTCAACATTTTATTCCATGACATAAATATCTATTGAGTAGTTATCCTGTGGATAAGTATGAAAATGCACTTTCGGTTTGTACAATGCTAATTTCGTGTAATTAAAAAGTTTCTGGTTACGTTAATATTTTAATATTTATTGTACATTGTGATATATCTAACGAATAGAATAATATAAGAGATTATTTCTTCAAAATTTATACGCAAAAAAAGGATAAGTTGGATATTTATTCATATATATTTTGTATTATGGAAAATACTTAAATAATTTGATATATACAATAATAATTCATTTCTGCAGTTTTTACTCTAAGAAAAATTGTAAAAAAATATAAACATATTATCGAAAGTAAAAAAACTTGTACGATTATTAGAGAATTTCGATTAACATTTCATCTTTTGTAAATTCAACAAGATGCAACAGTTTGTCGTGGAAATCGATCGATGTATGGTAAATGTAAATTTATGAACTGTAGATAAATTTAAAAACTGCAATATCTTCTCGCTTACCTGATAACTATTGTTTGAATGTGATAGCGCGGGATATTGTGAGGTTATGGCGAGAGTTTGTTTCCATCGATTTTGCAGCTTCTACTGCACACGCAAACATTTTTCGGTTTGTTTTACGCGCGATTGACACGCATATGAAACGCAAAAGATCGCAATCACGTTCTCGTTTACGACGCAGCGGATTGTAAACACGTACTCAATCGATCGCCGGTGCATCACGTTAGCGAAGTTTGTCGTATACGTCGCGCGAGGTTTCGAGTTATCGATCGCGGACTGGCGTGACGTCACCGAGGATCACGCCACATCCCCGCCCGTAGCTACTCGCCGTCCGATTGGCTCCGCGCTCGAGCCGGCTGTCTATATTGAGATCCGCGACCGCGTATCGGCTACTCCGAGTCGAGCTCCTACGCTTGAGTACGGCACGATATGCGATGCAACGTGGTGCAATGAGTCTAGTCTGACACTCGACGCATATTGTACACAACGCGACGAGTAACCGTTAACTTTCAAACTGAACGTTTTGCAGTGAACGCTTTAAATAAATAAGGTATGTAAGTCCGGCACAAAAGTTGAATAAGATTTGTACGCGCGTAGAGGCTATGATTGGTTGACATCGCTATTTTCGCCGCGCTAAAATGAGTAGAGCGGTATTCGCGTTATTTTTGTGTGCCTCGTTTGTTGTACTAACAAAACATTAAACGGAACACGAAACCTGAACATTCACACGCGCTTTCAAGGTAAGAAGAGTGCAGTAGATTTGAATTTTATTATTTTGAGACGCGCATATATTGTCATAGAAATGTATAAAACGAAAAAAAAAAAAAAAA